GGGGTGTGGATGGTTTACGGACATGGATCCAGCATGAGGGACATCCTGACTTGGTTGCCTTGGGAATACCGCTGGGCGCGGGCAACGGTGGTGTCCGGGCTGGTGGTGAAGACGAGCTCCTGACGGTATTGGACCAGCTGCTGGGCGAAGGGGTCCACGGCAAGAGCTATTATGGTGGTGATGGCTCCGATCTTCAGAATGGCGCTTCGAGGAAGTGTCAGCGGGACACGGTACTGGGGGTTTTTGTTGCTGCAAGAGAAGACTCACGCGCCTCTGCAATGCACCATCATCTTCAAGCTGCCCAATGGGCCGCGACTCGCCCAATCGATGCGCTCGAAATCCATCAAGGGCCGCATTTTGTCGCCGAACAGAATCCATTTCCACTGACTGATGGACTCGCTTAGCGCGAGCATCACTGACACTTTGCTGGCCGTGGACAGAATCGACACGATGGTGTTGAGGGTGACGCCATGCCAGTCAAAAATGACTTTGCCGTCCGTCACGGCGAGGAGAACCGCCAACGCCGCCAGAGAAGCGGCAGAGAAGATGACGGCCACCGTCTCCACCAGCCAGAGCGTTAGGGAGCGCATGACTGTTTCGGACCTTTTTGAGTTAGCGCCAGGGTCGGTCCGCCACGTCTTCCCAGAAAGTCGGCTCTGATGCTCGCTGCGGGGGCCGAGGCGGGCGTGAGCCGGGTAAGAAAGCTGCTTGGTTTTGGTAACGAATGGGGAGGGGAGGGGTCCATTTTAAGTGCAAGCTGTCAAGTGAGGCTGGGTTGGGGCTGAGATCGTGGGGTCCAGAACTTAATCTATAGCGCCCAAAACTAGCCAGGCGGTGAAGGGTCTCAGCCTCGACTTGTCAAGCCATGAAGGTTGGTCCGGCTTGTGATTGGCCATCCTCGGCTTTGGCTACGGTTTAGCAAATGGGGTTGAGCGCCACAACTATTTTTGTCGCCGTTGACTGAGCACCGCACAGGCCATCGTCTTCTGATTTTTCGACGCAACAGAGAGATCCCACACCGTGTTGCTTCTGCTGCCCGACTATCGCTTTATGGGCATTTTGTCGGACGGTGCTCGTCTGGAAGAACGTACCCCCCTCGTTAGAGCATAGGGGATGGCAGTTGAGCATCATGACCAATACTTCATGTCTTTTTCTGATGTTACTTTTGATGCTGGAAGGAGTTGAACAAAATTCTGAATAAGGCCACGGCCACCCCCATCCTGCACACCATATCGCTGTTTCAGGATGCCCTTGTCGTTGGAATATACTGCTCTTCGTAGAGCTTGGGCTAGTAGCGTTCGCTCCCCAAGGTCGAGCCCATCCGCATGTGCTTTAAGGGTACCTGGACATTCTCAGTCAATATGCTACAGCCACCTCTTACGCTTTAGGCGGCTTACTTATGTCCAGAACGTCTGCCAAGTTTTTCCTGGTGAGAAAGCGCAGTATTGAGCTATGTGTCTCTGTAGAATGGTTGATGCTAGCCAACGTAGTGATTAAGTGGAATGCCAGTCGACTCCATGTCAGGTCAGAGACCCCGCCAAGACGTGGAGCTCCACTGAGATTGGCGCCGGGAAGTAGGTAGACCCTGTCCCATCATTTTGATCCGCCATGCTTAAGAAGTGGGCCTGCGTTGCCTTATCCCAAAAAGGTAAGCTACTGCATGTAGGGCTGTGTTGCGCTTGTCTACGGCGATGCTTGAGTTTACCTGGCTTCCAAACAGTGAAACCGCGTCTTATTAACTGGCACCACGTGCAGCTTGTGGTACTGTCCTGCACTCGTTTCCCACAATACGAACCAGTTTTGTGTGTCTGACGCGACATTCAATGACTTGGTAAGCGATGTCTAAAGCGCCGATCCAAGAAAACCACAAAAACGTCATCATCTGCGCGACGATCTCACGGCAAACGAGCACTTTGGATGATGTGACAAAAGCTAGTCTATCAGACGCTCTTATAAGTATTACCAACTTTGCAACCAACGACCACAAAATGATAAGTGGCAACTTCATGACGCTCCGTCTCGGATAAATTGCGCAATGCATGTCAAGAAGTACACCGCACAGGCTTGCTCACGAACGTTGTAATATTTAATACATCTCCTCTGCTGCCCCATCGCTAGAGTGTGCATCTCAACAACCCCCCAATTTACACTTTGTCTTGATATTTCTCGCCCATCTGCTTCAACACCAACTTGAAAACGGTGTCCTCATCCAACCTGTCGGTGCCAACGATGGTCTTCTTGGCGGGTTGCAGGACAGCCTCCTCAATCTCAAACAGCTGACCCACTGCCGAATAGATGGCCTGGCCGTTCCTCGATTTGTCCGACATGAGCAGCGCCACGGACCGTGCGACCACTTCGGGTGGCTGCGTCTTGCCCCCTACAGACTCAACGAGCGATGCCGGCACCATTCCGGTATCGGTCCAGGCGGGGTTGATGATGTTGAGCCGGACGGGGAGGTTCGCCGATTCGATGTTCGGGAGCATGCCACGCAGTATTCCGAGGACGCCGTGCTTCGAGATTGCGTAGTCGGCGGCACGCATCCTTTGGAAAGCTGCAGAGGAAGCGAGTGTCAGTGCGTTCGTCCATGCCAGACAAGGTTCGCTTACCGGTGGAAGACGAAGTCAGGACGATGCTGCCACCGCCCTGCTGCCTCTCGGGCTTCATGTAGTGCAGCGCCAGAGTTGCCGTGTTGATGGTGCCCCGCAGGTTGATGTCGATGACCTGGTGCGACGGCTCCAGCAGGTCGCCATTCGCATCCAGGTTTTCCTCCAGGTAGTTGATGCGCGTGGAGATGCCGGCGTTGGCGAAGACGTGGTCAATGCGACCGTGCTGCTGCTTGGCCTTCTTGAACAGCGCCAGCAAGTCCGCCCAGCTGGTCGTGTCCGTCTTCTGGAACGACAGCTGCTCGTTCAGCGGCAGCGGCACCTCGTTGAGGTCGCCCGCGACGACGATTGCGCCCTGGGACAGCAGCAACTTGACCGTCGCAAGGCCAATTCCAGACGCGGCCCCTGTCGGTCTGGTCAGGCGAGAGGATCCAGTTGAGAGATGGGGCAAGATGTATGTACGTACCCGTCACCAGTACGACCTGACCCTTGAGGGCCGCGAACTGCGCCTCGTCGACAGTGATTTCCGACAGCATGTTTGGACCGAGACTGAAACTGTACAATCGAGCAGGTGCGGACAGGACGAAGCGGGCACGCGGGGCAACTGTCAAGTAGATAAAGCTCGGCTCGCCGTACCTCGGAGCTCCCCACTTTTCAATGTTGCTGCCTGCTTAGCCACACGCAACGGGCTACGCAGGTACTGGTGCAACCGTGGCTGGGCCGATGCCGCGGTAGCTAAGGAACGGGCCGACTTAGAGGAAGCGTGGCACCCCACAGCCTTGATTGCAATAGGATGCGGAACTGGGCGCTTGGACTCCCACTTATGCGCCGACGCGTTCTGGATTCCACAAACCCCATTGTAAACAATTGATGGAGCAGCCCGCTGCTGCTAGCCGTTTGCAGAACGATACACACTCCCCATTGGCCGTGGCACGGTACCGCTGTGCTCGGTGTAGGTATTGCCAGCGGCTGAAGCGCCGGATCTATCGTGTCCACTACCGCCGCCACATCGTCCGACTCGTGCATCCTCCTTCTGCGGCTTGCTCCTTCAACAATATCATGCGCTCAGCACCATATACACATCGTCCAGATTATTGAGGGCATCTTTTCTGGTTCCTCCACGTCCCTGAGAACGGTGGCATGTGCAGTCTCGTACGAGCTTCGTCAAACCCAAGTCTAAGCCCTGCGACCACGCCCACTACACAGATATCTACGTCCAAGACTCATTCTATTGAGATGCATTGAAAGTTTTCCAATTGATCCCCCTGATCATCACGCGTCGCCCCATTTCTTCGTAGTCCCGCGGAACAGGACCATGATTTCGGCCAGCATGGCGAGTCTGAAACCTGAGGAGCTGAAGGAATGTCAAGGTCTCCACTGGCCAGGATCGTGGCTTGATTCCTACCCGTGCAAAGCAAGATTACTTCTCATCAGGGCCATTCACATCTCATAGTCGATGAAGTCCTCCTCCTTTGGAGCTGCAACTGTGGGTTTCTTTCCACACCAAAGAACGATATGGCATCCATTTCTGCGTCCCTGACGCCCGTCCCCACTCCCTCTGGCCAGGGACTGTTGGAGTTGATTATCATCTTGTTGGCTCTTACCTGGGTCACAGTCATTGCTCGCACCGCCACACGTTACAAGATCAACGCCCTGGGCCTCGATGACTGGCTTATGATTATCGGCCTTGTAAGTGGGCATCTTTGCTACTACACCTCGAGACCATCGACGGTTGACCGTCTTCATGGCAGATCTGCTTCTCCGTCACTTGCACACTAGTCATCTTGTCCATCTGCCATGGTGCTGGAGCTCGTGCCGCGCAGCTCTCTGCGTACGACAACATGATGGGCCGCAAGGTAAGCGCTCCACTGCCGGATAGCTAGCAGGGTGGCTGACCACCCCCAGTGATTCGTTCACGCGCAGCTCATCTACTGCCTGACCACCATCCCCATCAAATGTAGCATCTGCGTTTCCCTGCTTCGCATTGCAACCAAACCAACCTACAAATGGATCCTGTACGGAGTCATGGGCTTCACCGTCACCTCGTCCATCATCTTCGAGGTGGTCATCCTCACCTACTGCCGGCCCTTTGCCGTCAGCTGGGGCGGCGCAAAAGGCACCTGCGGCGCACCGACGACCAACGCCAGCATCGGCTACTTTTATTCGGCCGAGTGCATCCTGACCGACTGGACACTGGCCGTGCTCCCAGTCTTCATGCTCCACGACGTGCAGCTGAAGCGACGTGTCAAGGTCTCCGTGTCCGTGATCCTGGCCATGGGTGCATTGTAAGTCGAAAACCGCCCATCATCGACGTGGGCCCCCGCGAAACCTGCACTGCGCTCCCCTCTGACACTTGAGAACCCTCCCAAAAACAGCGCCAGCACCGCAACCATCGTGCGTCTCCGCTACCTCGTCCTCTACAACGACCCCACCGAGTTCCTCTTCGGCGTCGCCCCCATAGCCGTCTGGTCGCTCGTCGAAGAGGGCGTCGGCATCGTCGCCGGCTCCCTCGCCGCCCTCCGCCCGCTGTTCAAGTACATCCCCTTCCTGCGCAGCTCGACGGCCGGTAGTAGCAGCGGCGACGGCGTGGGCGCGAGCAGCTCTGGGCGGATGGCGCTCCAGAGCCGGGACTCCAGCAGGGGCGCGCACCGGAAGGGGTCGGTGAAGATGCAGAGTGTGGTGAGTGGGTCGGCTGCGTACGATCCCGAGCACGCGGTGGGCAGGGGTGCGTATGGGGATATCGATAGCGAGAGCAATATCCTCAAGGAGACGGATGTTGTCGTCGTGACGAGCGACCTTGAAGGCGGTGGCGAGCGGGGCAGGACGGCCAGCTTCAGCAGACAACACTACTGATTGTGCAGCGAAGATGGATGCCCGCACCAAGGTATTGGTTGTTCGGAGAGGAAGCGTTCCTCAACCCTCGTTACAAGCCATCTCACTATGTAACACTCTTTCTTTGCGGAGATGCACCGTATGTACTGATGGCCAGGCGCTCTTATACGCCGAGTTGAAGCCGCGAGTTGTCCTAGCGCGGCGTAGTATGTCGCTTGGCTGTATGACAAGAAAGACGCGGGGCCGAAACATCCGAGCTTTTATACTGAGACAGGGCGCACGGGTCATCTATGACGTGGCTGGGGATATCTAGGCCTTGGTCCATTTGGAATAAGGAGTTGACGGTTTTGGAGGACGGCCATGCTCTATATCTTGGCCGTCTCAGCCAAGGAGCTCGGTCGTCCGTTTCTGACTGAATGTGGGGTAGTTGGCCAAGATCGGTTCGCCCGGGAAGGCAGATATGCACGCGAGTCGAAGATCGCCTGCTGTTTACTCCTTTAGTCGTCGCTTAGAAACCTTGAAGGAGACCAAGGAGTTCTTCGTATAGGTAGACCAATGGGATGGCGGGAGATGTGTCGCTGTCATGATGTGTCGCTGTCATGTCTGGAGAGAATCGGATCATGGAACATACGTGCGTTGGTTCATGTATGGACATCGGCATGGACTACCATGTAAGAACTTACTCGAGAGAATAGGGGCGTTCCATTTAAATAGAGCTACTGCCTTGCATATGTTTATTGTCTAACCCAAGCTCCAGCACACTTTCTGATACACTTCAAATCCACAACACCTCAGCAACAACCGTCGAAATGCTCGCCTACACCATCATTGTCGCTGCCCTGTCCAGCTTGGCACTGGCCGCCCCTTCTACCGACCTCTCGGCCCGCCAGGAAGAAATCCAGAAATGCTGTTTCACTCTCGACGTGAGCTCCGATTCCCCACTATCTTAATGATGCGATCCTTTGATATACTGACATTTTTCCCCGTCCAAGAACGTCAACAAGCCGACGTTCATCACCACTGGCGATGGCGACTTCCTTGACACTCTGAACTGGTGCTTCCTGAACGTCAAGCGGTATGACTCCCTACTCCACATGTGCCACCGTGGGACAGCTCTAACGATACCCAAGCGACCCTACCGATCCCAACAACTGCTCCAAGGCTACCGCCCAGATCTCCTCCGGCTACTGTACCGCCGGAGATAAGGGTATTGTCATCGACTGCCCCGCCAGTTGATAACTTTTCAAGGAAACTAGTGATGTATTTATGACAGCTGTCTCCGCACGCAAAGCCAATGTAGAGAAATGTAAATATTCTACACATATTTCGAGGTTGCATTTGAATATCCACATGATACAAAGTTTAAGGACTGCTAGCGGCCAGATCTATGCTTGACACGGACTATCTTTGACAGCTGTCAATACCAAATGTGCTAGTGACAACGTTCATGTTTCTGTTCTTGGACAAGCCTGAACTCAAAAGTATAATACATCTACTCTCCCAGCGACGTCGGAAAGCCAACTATCTGTTGTATTTCGATGACGCCGTTGTTTATCTAGCTGGGATCAACCTGTTCAGAGAAATCTTTGACGCATTGATCCTCCTCTTTGAGCACCTCGTGGCGGTACAACTTGGAGGTGGCGGTTGAGGCGACAGGTTTGGTCCAGAAGCAAACAGCTTAGTAGCTCCTTGAAATTCATGTTGTTACGTGGGGCGGGGCGGGGCATATAGATGCCCGGCAAGTGGAGAAATCAGCGTCGTCCAACAGGGCATCTGCCGAGCACGCAGCTTACAATCTCATTCGACTTCAATCATGTTGCTCCTTGTTTCAATGACTTCTATTGCATTGCATTCTCGATTACAAACAGCGCTATCACTCCTTCCTACTTGCCGACCTTCACCCCACTCACTGACTTTTACGCGTTTAAATCAGCTATTGAGAGATGTTGTGAGGGATCAAGAGTGACGACGGAATAGCAAATGACGGTTCGCTGCTATCGCCTTTCCCGGAAGGCCAGCGAACGAAGTCAGTTTTAGCTTCATCAAATTTAACCTCGCAGTAGCACTACAGCAGTCATAAATTGGTAAATCTACTACAGAGAGCTCCTCCATCACGATGAACTCGACAACAGCTTCGCCGTCTCCACTGTCTTGACCACACTATCTTCCAAGATCGTCCACCCGCTTTGCCCCATGTCCCGCAACAGCCCAGCACCCCGCTCATTCGGCGCCTCCACCAAAAACTCCCCCTCCCCTTCATCCTCATCATCAAACGTCCTCTGCGGATAACGCCTCTTCAAGATCCTCAGCACCCCATTCCACGAAAACCTCTCCCCAAACGCATACACCCTCTCCCCCACCACATCCCCCCTCACCGCCGCCACCACATGCACCCGCGCACAATCCACAGCATCAACAAAAAACTGGGGCTTCACAAACGCCCTCGCCGCCCTCGCCGCCTCGCCCCCCTCCCACACCCCCGCCAAAAACCCCACCGTGCTCGGCCACCCCTGCTCCTCGACCCTCAACACCCGCCCCAACACCGTCCCCACCAACACGACATCCACCCCGAACCCCAGCCGCGCCTCCTCCTCCTCCTCCACAAACCGCCACGCCGCCCTCTCCTTCTCCACAAACGCCGCCATCAGCACCGCCGCCCCCCGCGCCACCGCGTCGCCCTTCCCACCCTCGTCCCACCCCTCGTCCCACGCCGCCGCCACCGCCTCCTCGTTGTACGACGCCGCCGTCAACCTGCGCGGCGCCGCCGCCCCGCCCGCCCCGCCCGCCCGCGGCGTCCACGCCCCGAACGCCGAGCCCGTCAGCACGACCTTCTTCACGCTGGGGGCAGAAGCAGAACCGGCTTCGGCCTTCGCCGCCGCCCGCAGCGGCGGCAGCACGCACCGCACGGCGGCGGGGATGACGGCGCGCGGGTCCGTCTGCGAGGGGTCGAGGACGGAGGTGGTGAGGCAGATGGCGGAGATGGAGGAGTGCGCGGCGAGGAGGGCGGCGTAGGCGGGCTCGGATTCGAGGTCTGGGAGCTCGTGGAGGGTGAAGCGGCCGCGCGGGGTGGTGGTGGTGCTGGTGGTGGTGCGGGAGGAGAAGAAGGCGGGGAGCCAGGCGCAGCGGGTGGCGGAGCGGACGGTGCCGATGACGTGGTAGCCGGCGGCGAGGAACTCTTCGGTGATGTTGGAGCCGAGGAGGCCGTTGGCGCCGGTGACGAGGACGGTGGAGCCGGGGGGGATGGAGTCGACGGTTGGGGGCATGGTTTGTTTTCTTTTTTCCTTCCTCTTTTTTGGCTGAGGCTGCTGGGCTGGGTGCGAGCGAAGGAGCTTGTTAATGGCGAGGAGATGGGTGGGATGAGCTGCTGGTATTTATCTATCTCATGGCTGAATCCTTTTGGGAGGCTTGGAGGCTATAATGCGGGGTTCGCGCAGGTCTAGGCGGAGTGAGATTCGGCCTAAGGCATGAAGGTTTCGTCTCGGTGAGACGGCAATTCCGAGAGCGAGTGTCGGTTTCTACTAAGCCTACGACCGAACCTTACTTCCCGCGAACCACCGAAGGACTAGAGCGGGGTCGAGTTTGCTGCTATAAGCCTCTACACACTTTCCAAAGGAACTGTTGTTCATGGAAGAGATGGACGTTTTCGTAGTGCTTGTGTGCATTTTGTTGGGTCGCATGAAGCTAAATATCACCAGTTGCTTTTAGCAAGAACATCGAAACCTACATGGTTGAAAAGTCGTTGCCGTCAGCACAACCTTCCGAACACTTCCTTATTTGATAACGAAAGCCATGATTGTTCGAAGGGCTGCCTTTTGCTCTGGCTGTTAAACGAGAGTTTTTTGTGGGGACAGTCGCACTTGCACATGCACTGCTGAAACTTAGGTGTTTAATCCAGTACGCTGCGTTGTCATTCTCGAATATTTGCAAGATCCCCGGCATATGCGATTGGTTATCAGCGCGTACCTCATCCGCTGATCTACCGCAGCCGCCAACTACTTCGTGTCAGCGGAACACTGCATCCATTTATATAGTGAAGGTATCATCATTTATGGAGGACAGCGTCATCAAGACTGTCGACACGGCAAACTTGTCGTCCCAGCTCCTCAGGAGCTTCATATGATGTGTATGCACAATCCGATTGGTGGATGGAATGGGAGCTTCTCCCGGAACCAGCTCCGATTGGGATTGCAATGCTATAGGCTACCTACCTGGCGGATGATCCAGCGCGACATGATCGGCACATCGCTGAAGCCCTAAGTTACCAGTAGTATGCTGTTATCACGCTTGCTTTGGGCCATCCGCGCGGGTCCCACCCGTCGATCTATCTCGACCGCTAGCTACACATGGTACCCAGTTTACTTGAAAAAGAAATCATGGCATTCTACGTGCATACGTCGGTCGCGTATGATGCACGCAGGTAAGGCTTACAAAGATGCATGCGATCGAGTACGTCTGTAGCTGGATTTCGCATCGTCGACGCACATTCGTCAGAGTAGCCCTGCATCCAATGTTACACGACTGATTAGAGAGCACTTCGCATAAATTGCTTCACCACCAAGTTTGGCTACTGACCAGGGATGCAGAGCGCAAAGTTGGCTCATCCGGTTAAGGATCCGCGGGTGCGTGAGGAGCTGATGCTTTCTCCTCACGCCAAGTCGTTTAACGGCAAGAGACCCGCTTCGCATGCCGAAATCATGTCTGAGTGGTGATAAGGCACGCACTCATATCGACCATATGTCCTGGACGACCAGGGCCCGGCCTTCAGCTGTCCCCTGCCATTATCCACCACTATGGACATGCCAATCGAGTCTTCTTGATTGGCTTTTCGCCATGTAAGGCGAAGACAGGCCCAGGTGAGGCTGGCTGCTTCTACATATATATAAAGCATTCCACATCAGGACCATGCCACATTTACACATAATTACAATCTCGTTGCATTCAAAATGAACACTGTCATCTCCGACCACATCTCGTCGCCGCCACGCGCCCTCCTCGGCGCCGCCGTGCTCGGCATCATCGCCCTCCTCCTCCGCAAATTGCTATCCATCGGGTCCCGCCCAGCCAACATGCCTCCCGGCCCGCCCACCCTCCCCATCCTCGGCAACCAGAAGCAAGTGAGCAACACAAACACACAACCACCTCCGCAACCCCTCCCACCACCAGCACCCCCACTAACCCGGCCTCCCACCAGCTCGCCAACGTCCTCTTCCCCGAGCACGTCTTCACCGCCTGGTCCAAACACTACGGCCCCGTCTACACCTACATGAACGGCTCGCAGCCCTGGGTCATCGTGTCCGGCGCCGCCGAAGCCACCGAGATCTTCCACAAGCGCGGCGGGCAGACGGCGGGGCGCCCGACCAACAGGATGGAGCTGGCGATGCGGTCCGGCTTCTTCCCGTCCTTCATGGCGGGCGCCAAGTGGCGCGTCACGCGCAGGCTGTGGCACGCGGTGCTCAACGTCGGCGCGTCGCGGCAGTACCTGCCGCTGCAGGAGCTGGAGACGAAGCAGCTGCTGGCGGACGTTGCGGCGGCGGCGGCGGCGCGGGATGGTGGCGGTGGTGGGGAGGGTTGGCGGGTGCATGTCGATCGGTTTGCTGGGTCGGTGGCGACGACGATGATGAACGGGCAGCGGGTGACGGCGGCGGAGGGGCCGGATCGGGTGGCGAGGGAGTTTGGTGAGGATTTGGCCGTGTTTGCGAGGCATGCGACGCGGTCGAAGTGGACGGAGGATTTTCCCGTCGTGTGGAGCTTGCCCGAGTGGATGGTGCCGGCGAGGAGGGAGGCGAGGAGGATCGTGGAGGGCCATATGGAGCTCATTATGCGGCATTGGAATGCGACGAAGGAGCGGGTTGCGAGGGGCTTGTCGTTGCCGTGCTTCAATAAGGCGATTATGGATTTGTTGGAAGGGGGGAGTCTGAGGAGTCGGCTTACTGAGGCGGAGGCGGCGGAGGCGGGAGAGATTTTGGTTACGGCTGCGGTCGATACTACGGCGAGTAGTTTGGTGAATTGGGTCGGCGCCATGGCGATGTTTCCGGAGGTGCAGAGGAAAGCGCAGGAAGGTATGGTGGCTCAGTCTTCTGCTATCTGGCCGTGCCTGCTCACTGACGTTTCTTTTGTAGAGATTGACAGGGTTGTCGGGCCAAGTCGCCTCCCTGACGAGGAAGACGTCGCCGATCTTCCGTACGTTCGCCAGATGCTCCAAGAGTAAGTGGACCTTTCTCCTCCCAGACTTGGCTTCTTCCAGAGATTAATGCACATCACAGACTTCAGCGCTGGATCACAAGCGTGCCTCTCGGTGTCTTCCACGCCACCACCGAGCCGTTTCAATGGGGCCCGTACCTGATTCCTGCCGGGACGCCCATGGTCATCAACTCGTACGGGATCCATAGCGATCCGGCCGTCTACCCCAACCCAAAAGCTTTCATACCAGAGCGCTGGGAGGGAAAGCTCGAGTCTACGGCGAGCATGACGGACGACCGCATTGGTGCTCGCTCCGAGCTTTTCGCCTTCGGCGCCGGTCGTCGCATCTGTCCCGGCCAGCATCTCGCCGAGCGCGGTCTGATGCTTGCCATGTCGCGCTGGCTGTGGACTTTTGACATTCGGAAAGCACGGGATGAGTTGACTGGAGAGGAGATTGACATCGACATGGACGACCTATGTCCGGGGCTTGTGGTGAGATTGAATGACGTCCGGGTCGATGTGACGCCAAGGAGTGCGGAGAAAGCGGACATGGTCAAGGAACTGTGGGATGCGGATAGGAAAGAGTTCTTGGATGAGCATATGCAGTGGAAGAAGAGTCCTCAAGGCGTGGAAAGCGTGATGAAGAAGGCTGTGCGCCGTTAGAGGCATGGGGGTTGACGTTTTCAGATAGCTATATCAATTGACTCAGGCAGCCTTTCAGATTGACAAGGCCTACTACTCGGCTCTACTCGAAGCTGTCCACCTCGAAATGCCTGCCATGGAAATCCTTGAAGTCAACGTCTCTCGCCGGGAAGTGAGAGGCGTCCAGCAGCGACTCGACCATCCCGCTCCTCCCTCCCCACGTCTCCTCAGCGAAGCCTCGGATGAGGTCCGTCCCGTTCAACAACGTGCTCGAGCTCCACACTTTGCCGTCCCGCACCCACCGCTTGTCGACCCAGTTGACGTGCGGCGCCTGCTTCCTCATCACGCCCAGGAACATCCGGGGTGGACACACCGTCTTCCCCTCGAGCAGCCCGGATTCCAGCAGCGAGAAGGTGCCGGCGCAGATGGCCAGGAATGCGGAGCACTGGTCGTATGCTTTACGGATGAAGGCCTTCTCGGCATCGCTCATCTTGTATTGCACATCATGAGCGCCCATGAGCACGATGTCAAGCGGGGGGCACGAGTCGAACGAGTCCTGCACGGCGGTTAAAATTGCAATCAAAGATCCCTGTCAAATGTGCTCACAGTCGGCTGGATCTGAGCGCGGCTTTTCAACGCTGCCGGCTTGCCGTCTTCCGTGACCCAGTGCAGCTCGAACTCCATGGCTTCCTCAATCATCGCGGGCGGAAAGTTCAACAGCTTGAGCGAATCCTTGTTCAGCCAGGCGAAGAACTCGAAGGGTGCTATGTCAAGCATTTCGGTGACGCTGTGCTCTTGGTCAGCTCTTCGAATTTTGCGTCTTCTTGGGATCGTTGGATAATACCCTTTGGTGAGGATGACGCCGGCGTGGACCTTTCGGTCAGGCTTGCTGAGGTTGAAGGACATTCTGCACGTTCCAAAGTCTGTGTGTAGTTCAGTTGTAGGTTGTGGGGTTGTTGTGGGGAAATGTCAAATAGGCTGCGCCGAACCCGCCTTAAGTACTAGATTTGATGCTGAAGGAAGGGGTTGAATGACAAATCCTGGAATGCAACTACCATTTAAGGCAGCCATATTATGCCCTAGTGGTGAGAAAAGCTACCAACATTCGAACTCCAAGCCATCAGCCTCCAATCTGCTCAAAGCGGCTCCGCAAAGGCATTTTACGCTCAAACACCCGATCGCACCGCTTTGTGCGGATCCGCAGTTAGATCTGTGGGGTTCCGATTAGTGAACTGGTTGTTGCTGCCATTCATCTGGGGAAGAATTGTGCTGCCTGGCGCCTCCAGCCGTTGTTGCGCCCACGCCAAGTCGGCCGAGACGCAGTTTCCGCCGAATCTCTTCCCGTGAAGTGGACCCTGACATCAGCGATGGTCCGCCCGATCGCGCCATGTATGACTCTTTTAATCCAGCACCTTCCCGTTACGGTAATTCTGAACCACGTGCCAGCCACTGTTTGAAGCCGTATCCTGATGCAGTTTGAGCTGCTGTTCGCTAATACAAATACCAATGCGCGGAGTCATCTTTTTCATTTTCGATTTATTTTTCTTATTCTCGTTGTCCGGTCCATGGCTTGTGGGACAAATGGAAAGCGGAGAAGGCGAATAAAAGTACCAACACAGCAGTTCAGACAGAAAATAAAAGTGGGTATTGACAGAATTTAGGGTATGATGTACCTATAATTTTACTTTGATTATGCACAAGTGCTACGGTGATGAAGCGGTTCTCACGTGTTATCGCTTTTATCTTTTCGAGAGTATATATATCGGGATAATAATAGTTGCTGATAATGGTACTAGCTGGTAAATGATACTAGCGAATAAGCATACTTGCTAATAAGTAAGCAATGACAACGAAAAAGACATCAGAGCTTGCGCATTCCCTTACAGCTCCCCGCCTTCCGTGTGGTGTTAACAAAAAAAATAAGAGGAAATAATAAACAACAAAAGAACCATCGTCAATACCTAATAGTCAAGAAACATCACAACAAACCCCATGATCACTCCGGCACCGTGCCCCCCCTCAGATGATACAGTTCCCTCTTCTCCGCATCGCTCAGCCACTCGTTCGCCTCGCCAACAGCCTTGAAGCGTCTGTTCGCCTGCTCCTTTTCCGCCGCGCCGGCAGCAGAATGCTTGTCCGGGTGGTGCTTGAAGGCCAGCAGCTTGTACGCGCGCTTGATCTCGGCCTCGGTCGCGCTGCGGGAGACGCCCATGATGTCGTAGAATCCGAATGGGGTCTTCAGGAGCCACTCCATCTTGTCGGCTTCGGTGCCGTTGGAAGGGGGCGAGGGAGGATGGGATGGAGGGGCGGGGCGAGGCGGGGGAGAGGAGCGGGTGGACGACGAGCTGTTGTGGGAACCACCGCCGGCACTGGTGCTGGAGCCGGGGCCGCTGGATGACGAGCTGTAGGTGCTGTTGGAGGAGGGGCCGCGCGTCTCGGTAAAGTAGGGTCTGTCGCCGGATCGAGGGTTAGGAGGAGGGTCCATCGGGTTGCGGTCGCTGCTGCTCTGATGGTGGTGGCCATCTGGAGTTCTGGTCTCCGTGTTGTAACCGGAAGAGGGACCGGATGAGGTTTCCGGACGGCGTGTACCGGTGGTATTGCCAGACGTGTGGCTAGGGGTGTAGCCAGAGACGTAGCTGTGGGAAGTACCAGAGGTGTGTCCACGGGATGAGCTCGGGGGCGCCCGGGTCTCCGTGTGGTAATGGGCTGAACTAGGATATCCATGGCTGCGAGTGCTGTGACTGGAGGAGCCGTGGCTGTGAGTGTTGTGACTGGAGGAACCGTGGTTACCATGGCTGCCCGAGTGATTATTAGTGTAGTAACTGGAATAACTCGTGGAGCCATCAGTCCTCATGCAAAAGGCGTACCTTGATGAAGAACCCGCAGGGCTACGAACCTCGGTGGTGTAGTAATAGTTGTCGCCAGGATCAGCAGTGCTCGAATAGTGGCCACCGCTGCTACCACCGTACCTATCACTGTGCCGGTCAGCATAGTTCTCGGCCCTGGAACCGTAAGAACGATCATGACGGTGATAGTGATCGTGATGGTGGTGATGGTGAGAGTGATCATGGACACTTGGGCGCCTGTGTCCAGAACTGCTGTATCCAGAAGTGATAGGTCTGGATGTATCATACCTCGAGTGCGAGGTCGTTGGAGGAGTACTGTTGTGCTGTGGCGGAGCCAGTCCGCTACGCTCCAGCTTGCGGTCTAGGGTCGGAATGCGTGGCATCGAGACTAGTCGGCACGCCCGGAGTTCCACAGGCACTCCGGTAAGGGTGAAGGCTTTCCTGGAGGCTTCGTGGTAGAACGCAACCGGCCGGCCATCCAGCAAAGCGAGAACGCTGCTAGTCCTTGCATAAATGCCTAGAGCGGACTCAACCATGCGTCGACGCGTAGGGACGTCCTCGGGCTGGAGCCTGAGAATGATCAGATCCTCGATCTCTTCTGCAAGAGTTGGGTAAGCCATACTGCTTACCTACCCAGTTGGTGCGAGTAGTAAGGCAACGTTTTGTTCTCGGTGATGTCTGGCTCGAAAGCTGGAATCTCCGCCTTGCGGTGAAGAGGGTTCGAGTTGCGGTGAAGCAAACTCCAGAACAGGCTCCAAGGTTTTTATAAAAGCTGGCTATGCTCAGCGATAACAGAACTATGCTTTGTGTAGGATTCCGTTGCGCTTGAAACAGCTGAGTTGTTCAGTGTCCATACTTGAGAAAGGGGCCTGCAGTGGGCTTGCACATTGCCAAAGGCAACGCATATTGCAGAACGGAACCTTGCACACGACAGTGGAACCTCCTATCAGTTCAAGATTAATTCGTTTGCCCACGATGTTGAAAAGTGTTTGAGTTGGCGTGCGTCATTCACTGAAACCCGGAGGAATAATGAAATGACGAAATGCAACAAAGAAAAGCCGAGGATGGTGAAGACACAGCTGGTACATGCTATAAGTTGACAAAGCGAATCTAGAAACCACTGCTTGCTGTCGCCTCAGGAGCGCGAGTCGGATGGGAAATTTGTCTGGCTAATAGGAAATTCAAATTGTCTATAGCGATAGAAGAGAGTCCGGATGGGTTATTCTCCGAGACTGCGGAATCCGAAAAAGATATAAGCTACTCCAAACAAAGTAACATAGAGTGGAGACAGGTGCTTGGATGACCGGGAGCGAGGATTGGAGGCTCTGCGCGGTGCACGACGATAAGATGCGATTGCCACGGAGTGTGGCCGATCCCGAGAGCCGTGAATTAGGTGGCCACGGTCGACAACAGCGCCAAGATCGGAGCTGAAAAGCGCATTTCGATAGTTTGGTTCGGACAGAGTCATTGAGCTGCATTCGGGATCGGAAAGTGGGTACGATCTGGACAAGGGGGTTGGAGGCCGAGGCTAGATCGTAGGGCAAATAATCCCCTGCGGTCGGAACGAGGGTCGATCATGGTGTCAACAGCCTCGTCGCAGCTCCGAACAAGCACTGCAAAGCCAGACGAGATGAGAGACGACAGTCTAGAAAACTCCGACAGCCGCACAAGATGTTTTGCTACTCGTCAAGTGAGGCAGGGTGCCGGCTCGAGCAAGATGGGGTGTAGGCGGGGTGAGGACTTGGCAAAGCTTCTTGCATCGAAAGCCAATGCCAGGCAGCGGACGGCAAGTTCGAGTGTCCGAGTCCCGCGCAGTGGCAACTATCGAAACGATGCGAAGATGATCCGAAGTGGCTGGTGGACAGGCAGAGTGTCTGGCGTGGTGCTGATCAACGTGGCAGCGTTGCCTATCCGGAGGCGTAGGACCAATCGCGCTGGGAGGGTCGTACTATTGATAGCCACGAGAGGCGTTATCTGCAGAGCGCGAGCGCGTGGCACGACGGGTGACGGCTTCAGCCCGGCCGCACTCGAGCAGCGCGGGTCGGCAGAGCGGCAGGCACGCGGCAGAGCGAGGGTGCACGGGCACGGAGGCGGAAGGGCAGCTCAACGGCTGCTGGAGCAGAGCGGCGCAGGGCTAGATTGGATAAAGGTGCGGAGTTCTGGAGCAGGGAGCAGGCGCTTGCTGGCGGCTGCCCGCCCTTGCTTGGCCTTCCTAGCGCCTGCCTGTTCAGGCCTGACGAGCGGCGCTAGTGACGCAGTGTTCGGCAGGGAAACGACTGCTTCATCCCGCCATCGTGTAACAAAACTACGAGCCATCTGGATCTGTACTTCAGCCCCCAACCTCCCAGCCCTGCTCAAACCGCCCGTCCCGTGCATCGTCGCTCACTCCGTTGCGTCTGTTGTCCGTGGCGTCCGCAAACCCCGACCTGGAACAGCCTACGAGAGTCATGTCGCCTCGCTGCCGTGTGCTGTACTCGTCGATACAACCGACAGCTCGTGCCGCATGAGACGGTGCGCGGCAGAGTCGCATCGATATTCCTGTGCTCCCGCCCGCCAGCAGGGGTCCAACACTTGTAGGGCCAAGTGCAGAACCCTGACGGCCAGCAGCTTTTCCGCATCTGGCCGTCGAGCGCCTCATGTCGCCCGCATCTGGATCTTCACTGCCCGTCTGCTGCCTGGATTTCGCTCCCGAGCATCTCGGCTGCAGCCCGACCTCGCCATCCGGCCGTGATGAATCAGTCCAGCTTATCGTCCGCGCCTCTCTGGGCCTGGTCCAGTCTGCGTGCTTCGAGACCCTGGCGAGAGCCTTATGTTGACCAGTCCCGCTGCTGTGGTTTTGCATTCCCTTTCCTTTAAAGCCTTCCTCTCGTTTCGCTCCGTCAGCCTGTATCCGCCCATCAGATTCTGTTTTTTTCCCTACAGCCATCAGCACGCACTCTGAGTGCTGCTACTACTCTCGCTACCATGTCCGCGACGGCCACCACCACGGCCACTGCTACGCCCCGGCCTAGCACGCCTGAAAGTGATCGCATCGCCCCCGCCGCCTCGACTCCCCACAATGGCCCTCCCTCCAACCCGTTCGGCACTCCGTACGGGTCGATGCCTGCCTCGACCACGGGCTCCTTCTACGACTTCGGCGGCAGCGGCGTCGCCACCCAGAGGTACTTCCGCTCCAGGCGGATAAAGAAGGGCAGCGTCGAGCAGCCGTGGAAGGAGAAGAAGGACCCCAAGGCCAAGTGGACCACCATCATCCCCCTCATCGGAATCCTCATCGGCCTGGGCGTCACCGGCGTGCTCATCTGGGACGGTCTTCGCAACGTCATCAACCACGAGTACTGCCCGGTCCTGGACGACGACTTCGCCAACGGCTGGAACAGCAAGGTGTGGACCAAGGAGGTCGAGGTGGGCGGTTTCGGGTGAGTCCATCCGCCGTGGTCGCCGTCTTTACTTCGCAATCGTGCTGACATGCCACCCCGCAGCAACGGACAGTTCGAGATGACGACCGACACGGACGAGAACGCGTTCGTCAAGGACGGCATACTGCACCTCAAGCCGACGCTGCAGGACCAGCAGCTGGTGGACACAAACAACGTCATCAACCTGCTGGACGCGGGCACGTGCACGGGATCGAGCTGGTCCAGCTGCGTGACGACGACCAACACGACCAACGGCACCATCGTCAACCCGGTCAAGTCGGCGCGCATCAACACCAAGCTCGGGGCGAAGATCAAGTTCGGGCGGGTCGAGGTGGTGGCGCAGCTGCCCGAGGGCGACTGGCTGTGGCCGGCCATCTGGATGCTGCCGACGGCGGCAAAGTACGGCGACTGGCCGCGCTCGGGCGAGATCGACATCATGGAAGGGCGCGGCAACAACCACACGTACCCCACGGGCGGCAACAACATCATCAGCAGCGCGCTGCACTTCGGGCCGGACGTGGAGACGGACGCGTGGTGGACGGCCAACGTCAAGCGCAAGGCCAAGCTGACGACGTACGCAAAGGCGTTCCACACGTTCGGCATGGAGTGGAGCGAGAAGTACATCTTCACGTACGTCGACACGCGCATCATCCAGGTCATGTACAACAACTTCGACGTGCCCTTCTGGGACAAGGGCCACTTCCCGCTGTCGGACAGCAACGGCACGCGCCTCGTCAACCCGTGGGCGGCGTCGGGCAGCAAGGCGACGCCGTTCGACGAGGAGTTTTACCTCATCATCAACGTGGCCGTCGGCGGCACCAACGGCTGGTTCAAGGACGGCAAGGCGGGCAAGCCGTGGGTCGACCAGAGCGCCACGGCCAGGCGCGACTTTTGGAACGCCAGGGACCAGTGGTACCCCACCTGGGAGGACAAGGGCGAGATGCTCGTCAAGAGCGTCAAGATCTGGCAGCAGAAGGGTTACAACGGCTGCTGATGATGTTTCTGTCTGCCTTTTCGTCTCTTATTTCCTAATTTTTTTTCCTCTTGGCTTTGGGCGCTCGGGAAACGTATACACACTAGAGGGAGCGGAGCGGGATGGATCTCAACGGGGGCCGGACTGGGCACACGACCAGGTCTCACTAATGTTGTTCCTTGTTCACGAATTCATGAAATAATAGACTGTATCATGCCGGCGCTGCTACCACGACTCATTGTGTACTCTGATAACGAGCGAAAAAAAAAAAAGGGTGCGATTAAGCACTCCAGACTCAGCCAGCCATCGCGCAAGTGTGGCTTCAGGTACGCATGAGCGGGCGAATGGGCGGGGGGCGGGCTTGCTTACGGCTGGCTAAATAAAGGTGAGAAAAGGCCGGCGTGGGTCGGGTAAGTAACGTCGCAGCTGCCTAGCGGCCAGCCACACGATACGACAGAAAGAAAGTGGTGCCACGACAAAAATCGGCGCCGTGTGGTCATTCGACTTGGATTCTTTCGCGTGTTGCGAGGTTGATTTACGGTAGAGCTTGGCCCTGCACAGATTGAAGTGGGTATCTGCAGCCTCCATTGCGCAAAGCAGAGACATTTTCTCCACAAACGCTGGCAATGATTTTTGTCTCCGACGGGTTGGCGGTGCGTGTTGCCGGCTGGGCATGCGAAGACAAGCAAGCAAGTGTGGGGGTGGCGGACTGGCGCGCGCGAGGGAAAAAAAGGGAAAAAGCGCACGATAGAAAGTGGGGGAGCGGAGGGGGAGGAAAGCGATAGAAAAAAAAAAAAAGAGAGGCCAGGCTCACTCTCAGTCGCGTCCAGAATGCTCACCATCGGCCTCGCCCGGTCGCGATGGAGGATGCTGCGCTGCAATTTGGACGGGCTTGGTAGTGCTTTATCTGTGGGCATGCGGCTCGCTCGCTCCCTGCTCATAGAGTCGCAAACAATCCTGCTGCGACTCTCGTATTCGAGACGGACAGGGTGAGGGAGCGACGAAGGAATCCTGCCCGGCCGGCTATCTTTGTCCCGCCCTGCTGCAGCCCGCAATTGGATGGCATGGGACGACACGACGGCGACGTCGTGTTCGCGCCATGCATGTCGTTGCCGCTTGTCGCGAGCGGCGGAACGATGCTGGATGGGTGAGACGCACTGCTGTTCGCCACGAGGGCGTGGGTTTATCATAGGGAAAAATAGATGCACTGCGTTGAAGATGTCGCGAAGTTCGAAACGAGCTGGCGATCTGCCGGCGAGGCAGCCGGAGGGCGCGAGGCGAGCCGAGGAGGGGGGTGAGTGAGATCTGCGCCCGAGAATCCGCCAGTCACCAAGAGTTGGCTATATGCTGTGGGCTTTTCCCACTTCCTTGTCTTGATACGATAGCTACGCGGCTGTTTGTACGTGTACAAATACTGGCCGCACTCTCATACTTGCACAGTACCGAGCTTCAGCAGAGCTTGGCGCAACTCTGATGCAGTCTGTGTGTTTAGGGCTTGCTCTTGTATATCTGCATCTGCAAAGGACTCTGTATGCAGCGCGCGACGGACCAGGAAGCCTGCTGGGGATGGACTTATTGCAGTTCCGACCACGATGCGTTCCGGAGCGGATCATCCAGGCGCTCGCCTAAAGGTTGTAGTGTTTCTCGAGTAGCAAGATTGTCGAGAAGCAAGCGAGTGCACGGCACCAGGCCTGGCCTCACAGGGCGGGATGCCGGGTGATGGAATAGCGATGGGCGTTGGATCAATTACCGCTATTACCCCGCGTATTTCCGCGGACCATGTTTGTTCGGAAAATGTGATTGGTTCGGCCGTCAAGGCTTGTGCTCAACAACCCTCTGTTTTGTTTCATACATTGTTTGATCGGTTGTTTCGCCCTCTCACCTCCGGCTTTCATCCTAGGTACTCGGCGCCTATTCTTGAACATGTCGAGTTTTCTGTCCAGATGCCTTCGACAGTGCTTCGACACTGGATTTTCGGTTAGGCGAGCCGGCCACCCGTGGCCAACACTGCTCGATGATCAGGCATCCTAGTGCTTCACCGTTGCAGTACCTATGCAATTACGCGGTAACTTCCACCGTCGGTGCGTGCCGGCACCGCCGTCAACCCCGTTGGCCAGCGAGCCCTGCTGTTTCGTACGATGCTCACCCACTGGTGCCGTGATTGGACGCTCTTATTGACTAATGGCAAACAATTGAGGGAAGCGATAACGTACCATCCCGCCCCACTTGAGTGGTATTTGGTGTAGAACGACCCTGTGCACATCTCACTCGACGGCCCGGGTGGGGACCAGAATCCCGTTTTAGCAGCCATCGGCTCTCACCCTTAATCAATCTGCAACCTGAAACTGCTGAATCCGTATTCCACTCTCTATAACAGTCTTTAGTTCCCACCTCACTTCACCACCGCACCAGCAGTCATTCTTTCCAAAAGGGCCGGGCCTCTCACTTGACATTCTTTTGAACAACAACCACAAAATTTCGAGACAGGATTCTCCAGCTTTCGCCTCACCAACACAACCATCAACATGCGTTCCACCTCCGTCTCGGCTGCCGCCGCCCTTTCCTTGGCTCTGGGAGCCTCCGCTCAGTCCTCGGACGAGTCCTGGATCAACAACTACAAGTTCGGCAACATGTTCTACACCGGCCCCACCAGCGGCGGTGCCGTCATCACCAAGGCCACCTACACCATGGCGCCCCCGGAAATCCCCTGCGGCTACGCCACCGGCGCCTCCGTCAACGAGGAGCTCGCCCTGTGGATCGGCGCCCAGCCCAACCCCACCGGCAAGGATGTCCTGACGCTGTCTTTCGTGCAGCCGCTCATCAACTGGGCTCCCGACCAAAAGGCTACGTGAGTGACATTCATCATAGGAAAGTGAGAGCGAAACATGTACTGATTGATGGACTGGTTGTAGCGGTTGCGACTCCACCAACGAGAACTGGTGCATTGCCGCCAGCTCGTACCACCCTTGTAAGTCCCTTTGTGGATTTGCGCATTGTGTCCATGTACTGACGAGCGATTTGCGCAAACAGCCGGCCAGGTCAGCCAGACCTACCAGCCCGTGGCCCCCAACACGTCTCTGGACTTTGAGATCGCCGTCGACGAGGCCAGCACCAACATCACCCAGAAGGTGTGGAACGGCGGCGAGCTCATCTCCTCGCAGTCGGACAGTAAGTCGACCAATCTCCACCAAAAGCTTCAGTATCTGACACAAGCCTGCCTGTAGACCCTGGCATGAAGCTCGAGGTCTTCTACTCCGGCAACGAGTGCTACGGCGCCGACTGCGGCACCCTCCAGGGCTACAGCTGGAAGAACCTCACCGTCCACCTCGACAAGGCCGACGCGGCCTTCGGCAAGACGCTGAGCCTGACGGGCGCCAGCTCCGACGGCTTCACCACCTCCGACGGCGGCAAGACCTGGCACGCCGACGAGATCAAGATCAACGAGGACTACTTCTACCAGGACGGCTCCAAGACCGAGTGCTCTTCTTCGTAGATATATTCGATACCCGTGCCCCGGGTCTTCAGGTACATATAGAGCTCGATAAAAATCTTTGAACGGTGATTTTGGAAAAGCTTGAGTGTTCCTGCAAGTGACGTGAGCTACTAGCGGGGTCTGTCACGAGACGGACTGCTAGGCCTCATAGACTCTCAATGGGTCCCAAAATCATCCAATACCAAACAAAGACTCTCAATGCCAATGCAGCCACGCACATGACATAAAGCTATAAGCGTGCTAACGAACAACGATTCGTCTTTGAATTGACTCTGAACTGCTTCATTTTGACTATCTTGACCTATCTACCTTACAGGATCAATAAGCCTGCCCTTCTTATATGTAATACTTGCAGCTGACCTTTAGGAAGGAAAAGACCCAGAGGTAAACTAGTTGACGTCAACGTCAGGTGTCAGTCCCACCCCTTCAGTCCGGACTTGCAACGCAATAGCTTCTTAGTCGCATCAGTAGTCGACAGGGTTTTATAGAAAGCCTTCACCCTCTCATGAGCAAGCACCTTCTTAGGATCAAAATTCAACACCTGTAGTCCCTCCATCGTCGTCGCCCGCGACAAAGCCACATATGCCTGGTGCCTTTCAAAAACATTGGTGAGATCCACTCTCACAAAGTCCAAGCTCTGGCCCTGTGCCTTGTGGATGCTGAGCGCCCACGCGAGTATCAAAGGAACCTGTCTGCGGCCGGCCAACACTCTGGTCTTTTCGTTCGGCCTTTTACCGCTGCTGGGTGGAGGTTCTTCGATGATCCATGTTTCGGGAGTGCACAGAATCTCGCGTACGGCCCCGTCTATGCACGTGAAGCGCACTCGGGGGTACTGAATCTCAGATCCGGACCCTTCCTCAAAGTCCATGATTTGGCCCAGGGATCCATTCACGAGCGGCCGGAAGAGGTTCCTGGTCAGCATGACCTGGGCGCCTTTCTTTACTCTCAACACGCGAGGAGTAATGCATCCCGCTAGCAGCTTTTCCCGGGTCTTTTCATCTTTAGTCCCCCAGTCTTGACTGGTATAGGTGCGTACTTCGCCGGGTAGTTGATCCAGCCTCGAGTGATTTGCCATGTTAACTTCAGCGCACAAGGCAAACAGATTGCTGGCCTCCAGTCCGCCGGTCAAACGTAGCGGCCTGCTAAGTTGTTTGAGTTGTTGGATCGAGTCGAAGGAAAGACGGCCCTCCCTCATCTCATTCAGCATCGAACTGAAGATGGGATCCTTCTGCCTAAAGACATGAGTCAGGCCAATCGTATGCTCTATCGTCCTGGCCCACGATTTAGCCTCGAAAGCAAATTGCGCCTCTTGACCCTTCGCAACGGGCGGCAACTGGAAGAAATCGCCGGCAACCACAAGCTGGATACCGCCGAAAGGCAGCTCGTTTCTCCGGACCTCGCGCGCGATTCGCTCCAGTTTGTCGAAAAGCCGGGCGTCGATCATGGATACTTCGTCAAGGATAAGTACCTTGACAGCGGTCCACCGATGCTTAATCTTTTTACTCTTCCAGATCTTCACGATAAGTTCTTCAACCGTATCGTTTCCGAGGCCAATGCCCGTGAAGCTATGCAGCGTTTGCCCTCTTATGTGGGTGGCGGCGATCCCGGTTGAGGCTGTCACAGCAACTGTCTCCATGTCGGTGATATGCTTGATTTCCACGGCTTCGATGATCTTGCGCAGAAGGAAAGATTTTCCAGTCCCGGCAGGGCCGGTGAAGAATATGCTCTTTCCTTCACGTAGTACGAGATCCAGGACAATCTGCTGTTCTTCGGTAAGTGACTCCACGTTTGTGTCACCTTCTATGTGGTGAGGGCCGTTGCGATGGGCTGGTGGGGAGTGGATTGGAGTATGATGTGAAGCCATTTGAGATGATGGCTTGGTTTCATCTCCTTTGCGTTCCTCGTTTGGCGTCCCACTGTGGTCCTCTTGCTTCGCAGATCCGTGCCTGAACTTCAATCTGTTCCTCAGAGACTTTACAATCCATCCGAATCCCCTTCGTTGAGCTATCGTATCGCTACGTAATGCGGTCGGGTTGTGGAAAGAATTCGTTGCACGGATGACTCGGTGTGTACCAGTCGCTTCGCTCCTTGTTGGACGCACTGGAACTGCACTCATCAAAGACAAGTCTCTCATGCACCGTTGTGGCGGAGATACAGCGTACAGGATCCGGCGCGGTGGACAAGTATCGGTGAAGTTGTTGATGCCGGCCAGAGGGCCCGATTTGATCAAGCCAAAACGCTTGACCTCACCGGTCTTTCTACCACGAAGGCCACCTGGTAACATTGCTTGTCCCGTAGTGGCGGAGGCTTGTTGTTGCTGTGGAGTGCGCTCCGCAAAGGTTTGAGGGAAAGTGGCAATCGCCGAGATGCTTCTTCGATGAGAGAGACAATGTAGATCAAAGCTTGCACCTTCATGTCAGTAAGAACTACATATCTATCGACCCTTGGCTCAATTTGTGTCAAAAAAATTTTAGTTTGATTAGTTAATACGGCTGCCTGCTGGACGACGTGCTAGGCGATATGCTGTGCGACAGTATTAACGGGCGTTTGCAAACTTGAAAGCACCATTTATCCCTTTGCTTGCGAGAAAGCGAAAGATGATCAACGATCCGTAAAGAAAGACTTTTGTACTATTCATATCCAGATGGAGGTATAGCACTGCACTCCGACCAACGAGTAAAAAAGCAATGATTGGGCTTTGTGTGTCCGGGAGATGGAAACCCGGTGCACGAGTGCTCGCATTAGCGTCGTTTCGGATACCACCCAAACAAACACGATCAAAGGGCTGCTGTTCAGAGCCAAGGAGGCAGTGCTGGTCATTGTGGATCTGCCAGCCATCATCCTGGCTGCCACAATCGTGTGCTACTAAGGCAATGGGGCCCAAAATGCGAGCCGTCAATTGCAACCCAATCAACCAACGATTATTGCTTTTTTTCAGCAAAGCAGCCCAATACTACCCCCACAGTCGCAACGTGTAGCTACACCTGCAAGCATCCTACCCGGTCCAAGGACCAACCACTTCCATCTCGTTCCCTGTCAATATTCCTTGACCAGATCGCTCTTTCCCACTCACCATTGGCACAATCCTCCCCAAGCTTCACTCATAGTCGTTCTTATCAGGACATTGCCCTTCAAGAAAGGACGAAACCTCATACACACACACAACCAGCTTCCGATTTCCCTTCATTCGTATCGTAGTACCGATCGAAGATCTGACGGAACACGAGGCCGCAGTAGTGCGTGAGCAGCTGCCAGGTCGGACCCTGCCGAGCATGCACTGATATATGCACGTCGTCGTCGCACGTGCAAGGTGGCGGCAATGTGCGGAAATAAGTGACCTCCAAGGCCAAGAATCTTCTTCGCGGTGAATCGGCTGTGAAGACTGATGTCGGATCGGTTTACGTCATCATACGCATCCCCATTCACTTCGGTCACAGCAAAAAGCAAAGGTCATCTGGCAAGCAAGCACTTGTCCCATTCGAAGTTTCAACCAGCACGCTATGCATAACCAAAATGAAACGGTAGAGGGGGTATATTCCAGTCTTGCTTGTGCAAACACCGCACAATTGTAGATCTAAGTCTTGTTCATGCTTTCGAGGACGGCTCCAACGTGAGTGTAAAGACAGAGGGTGAAGATAAAATAAGACAAACAAAAAATCGACGTCTTGATGTGTGTATTGTTGAACAGGAACAAGAAAAAGGAAGGACAAAGATCAGCGACCGTCCCTGCCACCATCGCCGTCTCCATCCCGCCTCTCCGATTCGTCCTGGGTATCATCTTTCTGAGAATTCCTGCTCCACCAGCTCATCCTAAACGGCCCCCTGTTGCCCCGCCTGTCTGGATTGCTTCTCGTCCGGGGCAGACGTATGGTGCGGAACCAACTGGGATTCCGTTCCGGGCTGGGGCTCAAAAGCGTCACCGCAGGGTCGTCGTCCTCGTGGTCACTCGCGCCTGGCCCCGATCTTGATCTCGGAGCGGGCGCCACCTCGGGTTTCTTTCCACCTCCAAAGCTGTCCCACCACGAGTTCTTCCGGCTCTCGCGAAGAATCGGCAGCGTCCCTGACCTTGCCCGTGCGTGCGCTCCAACTCTTCCACGCCCTCTGCTTTCGAGCGGAGAGTTCAGACCACCAGGGCTGGTCCGATCGTTCAACTCATCCCAAATCTCCCCTGCCTCTTCCGAAATCGTCATGCGACGTATCTTGCCTAGACTTGCTGGTCGCGGTCGACCCGTTCTTCCCTGACTGAAAGTGCCTGCATTTCCGCTTCTGAATGGGGCTGTATTCGTGCGGGCCAACAACGGCGTCTGCTCGTCCGACGCGACACCAGCCGCATGACTGCTCTTGCGTGTCTTGTTTGCACTCGAAATGCCTAGCGGCGCTTCTTCGTCGTAGTGGGTGGGGCCCGAATAGGGGGATTGCTCATCATCAGAGTCGGAGCCTCCTGCGTCGATAAAGCCCAGACCAGGAGTAAGAGCAGTGCGAGGGGGCGGCACGCCAGAAAAGGAATTCCGAGATGCCTTTCTTTGGTGACTGGCGGCCACCGGGTCCTTGTCCTCCAAGCGCCAGCTGAGCGCAGCTACACCTCCCAGCAAGATAACAACGCCGACGGCGATCAGGACGGCGGCGCGCACGGGCAAGCGCGAGGCCTGGCGGAAGTAGATGAGGCCGTCCAAGATGGCGATAATGTTGTAGATGCAGAAAACGAAAGGGTAAAGAACGCTAGTGGAAGTAAGCTTGAGGCCTCGGTGCAGAAAGTAAAGCTGCGAAAGCGCCAAGGCCACGAGTCCGAGGAGGATGACCCAAGACTGCCAGCGGTTGAACTGATTGTGCCTGTCGACGATAGTCCGGACCAGTAACTCGACGGCAGACTTGGCAACCAGGAGGGAGTGGGCGGACAGAATGCCGCTCATAGCGCCAAAAGACATCCCCCGCAGGAGGCGCACTAGGGGCGAAGGGCGGTGAAATAGCCGTTTCAGGAACCATTGTGCAATGAAAAAGAGTATGGTAATGAAAAAGGTGGCGAAGAGCCAGACGAGGAACTCGGCGCGTGAGAGGAGGGCGAGGAGTTGGTCGAGAGTATGAGAAGGTTCCGTCAGGGCGCCGAAGATACCAATCAGGACAGCGCCACCTGCGACAAGGATTGTGCCAAAAAGGGAGAATTTGGTGAAGGGTTCACTCAGAATGAGGCTCGCGCATATCGAGTTGAAGACCAGGCCGGACTATTGCTGTCAGCGGGCGTGTTTGGTGGTGCGGTTTGCTGCTGCAAGGGAAGATCATACAGCTTGCAGCGTCGACAGCACGGGCAGCGGAAGGGTGGTGATCTGAATCGTGCTGCCAACCAGGTTCGCGATTATGAACATGAGCATGCCCAGCTGCGTCGGGCGGGATCAGCGGGTGGCGGCGGTATATGGTAGAGATGTTTATCATACCTGCCACCGGCGGCGCCTGTAGGGCGGGCGGCGGACATGGTGCTCTTCCTTCTCCTCCTCGAGCAGATGGGACTTACGCTGCAGGGTCAAGCCGACGCTCTGGATGCTAGTCGACAGCAATCCGACAAAGACACCCAGCTGGAGCGCGTGTCAGCGCGCCGTCTTCTCACCCGGACTCGGAGGCTGGGACTCACAGCAACGCTCCCGCCAGCGGAAAGCTCGACCATGGCTGCGCGGAGTGTGGACTTCGAATTGGGCTACCTGATGGGCACAGGCATGCTGTATTGTATGCGATCGATCGGGGGCGCTGCGCCGGGCGGAGGCGCATGCAGTGTGCGGCGGGCAGGTAGCTGGCTGGAGGCGCAAGAGCTGGCGCGCTCACGAGACGACGGGCTGGGATCGGTCGACGTCAAGCGATCGGCGGCTTGCGGGTGCGAGGACGGCTGCACGACGCGACGTGGGCGGAGAGAGCGGGCGGGCGTCAGGGCGAGACACGGTAAACAGCAGTAATGAGCGAAGGCGAAGGAGAGGATGCGACGTGCGCGGGCTTTTGGGCTAACGCCGGGCGTATGAGACGTTGCAGGGGTGCAGCCGCATGCGTGGGCGAATCTGAGGACGGAGGCCTGCTGGCGGGTGCGGCGCGGCCAAGGCCCAAGTCGCAGAGCCCAGTGCCCAGTGCCCAGTGCCCAAGCTCGGACGCCAGAGTGCATCACCGCCCGCAGCTCCAGCGACCAGCATCGATATCAACACCACCTCAAGCCCGCCATCCCACCGCGTCACCGTCGCCCCCGCCCCCATCGCGCCTCATCTCTGCCCGCCAGCCCATCCAAGCTCCCACCGCCGCCATGTCGCAGATCCACGCCATGTCCGACGACCAGGTACGTCGCTGCCCGCTCACCGCACCCGCAGCGATGCCCGCTCGCCTCAAGCTGACCGCCCCACGCTGCAGGTCGCCGGCGAGCTCAAGAAGATGACGGCCTTCATCCGCCAGGAGGCGTTGGAGAAGGCCAAGGAGATCCAGATCAAGGCCGACGAGGAGTTTGCCATTGAGAAGAGCAAGCTGGTGCGCGAGGAGACGCAGTCCATCGACCAGAGCTACGAGAAGAAGTTCAAGCAGGCCTCCATGTCGCAGCAGATCACTCGCTCCACCGTCTCGAACAAGTCTCGCCTGCGCGTGCTCAGTGCCCGCCAGGAGCTGCTCAACGACCTGTTCGAGCAGGCCCGCAAGAGGCTCACCGACGCCGCCAGCGACTCGTCCAAATACCAGACCACGCTCAAGGGCCTGATTCTCGAGGGTCTGTACGACCTGAACGAGCCCAAGGTCCAGGTCCGCGCCCGCGCGGCCGACTACGATACCGTGCGCAGCGCCATCACCGAGGCCGAGAAGGAGTACAAGGAGAAGACGGGCAAGGAGACCAAGGTGGAGATCGATGAGAGCAACCCTCAGCCCGAGGATTCGTGAGTGTGCCGCTGTTCGAGAGTATGCCAGGCTATGGATGCACTAACACTCGCACAGCACCGGCGGCGTGTCGATCGTGGGCGGCAACGGCAAGATCGAGGTCAACAACACGTTCGAGGAGCGGTTACGGCTGCTGGAGGAGGATGCACTCCCGATGATCAGGACTACGCTGTTCGGCGAGAACAAGAACCGCAAGTTCAAGGACTGAGCGGGCGGCGTGTTGCTGCTGCCACTGTTTTGCTAGAGTTCGCGGGTGGGAAAGATGTGGCGCCAAGCACCGCCGACAATGCACGCAGTCGGCGGGGTGTGGATGCGCGTGCAACATGCTGTTCTCATGACATCAGGCGGGCTGGGCTCAGGTGTACTATATTGTGGAACGTTCACGTATACTCAATGACAGGCCCCGGCCAGCGATGTGGCTTTCCTTTCGTGTCCTTTCCGACGTCGATATTAGCAATAGACGATGCACATAAGACGGGGACAGGGCTGCGGGGATGCAGGGTCGGCGATAGGGCGTGCGTGGGCTGCGTGGGCTGCGTGGGCTGCTATTTTTGCGAGCGAGGCCAGGCCTGGACGGCAGCTGCGACGCGCGGGCCAGCGGCCGTGGCTGGTGCTCGTCACTCGTCACCCAGCGCTCCGGTGCGATCTCCAGTCCGCCGCGAGTGCAATCCTCCGCATCACCACAACCCCATCCGCTCCCCGCCCATTCGCTATGCTGGTCTCGTTGACCGTCGGCAAGGTCGATGCCGGCGTCGCCGTGCTGCTGACCGAGGACAAACGCCTGGTAAGCCTCAAGTCCGTCGCAATGCGCGCGCCGAGCCCAGACTCCTTGCTACGTTGCCGTTTGCCGCGCATTCGTCCCCAGCCCAGGCTGACGCGTGTTCCAGATTGAATTTCCCTCGATTCTGCTACCGCCCGACATCTCCTCTGGCAGCATTGTCGACATTACCGTCGCCCGCAACCACCAGTCCGAGCAGGCCGCCCAGCAGGCTTTCCAGAAGTTGCAGTCCAAAATTTACCAGACATTCGGCACCCGCACCCCCGAGCCGCCCATCCTCCGCTGCCGCAATGCCACCCAGACGTCTGTCGTGCTCGAGTGGGATCCCATCCAGCTGGCCACGGCCGAGCTGCGCAGCCTGAGCCTGTACCGCAACGGCAGCAAGGCCGGCAGCATCCCGCGGCCCAAGGACATTCAGAGCACAAAGATATCCGGCCTGGCTGTCGACACCGAGTATGTTTTCCACCTGGTCTTGCGCACCTCGGCTGGCACCTTCAGCAGCGAACGTCTGGCCGTGCGCACCCACAAGATGACAGATTTGTCCGGCATCACCATCACTCCGGGCATCATGCCCGCCCAGCTCAGGGAGAGCCTGACCGAGACGGCCGAACGCGTCGGCGCAAAGATGATCGACCAGGTGCGCATCGACACCACCCACTTCGTCTGCACAGAGGGCCGCGGTCCGCTTTGGGAGAAGGCCGTGGAGATGAACATTCCCGTCGTCGTGCCGGATTGGGTCAAGGGCTGCGAGCGCGAGGGTCGCATCGTCGGCGTGCGCCAATACTACATAAACGCAGACCCCCGCCTGCGGCAGATGGGCCCGCCGTCTGGCCAGCACCAGAACTTGCCCAGCCACGGTCGGAGTCAGAGCATGGCGCAGGCCAGCTCGAGGCCCACTCCGATGCCCAGCCCGCGCACCGAGATCACGCCTCCAACGCCCGAGCAAGTCCGCAAAGAACCCCCGAATGGTGCAGTCGCTCACGCAGCAGCTTCTCCGTTGCAACAACCACCCGAAGAACCCGCCCACGAAGACCAGCCTCCGCCCCCGCCGCCAAAGGAAGACGGCAAGAGCCCGTCGCCGGAACCCGGCAGCGGCAGCGGCAGCGGCAGCGGCAGCGGCAGCAGCAACGATGGCGGCCCCGTGGAAGAGCCGACGAACGGGGAAGGCGAGCTCACGCCCGAGGCGCCACGTCATGCCGACGCGAGCGGAGACGAGTCGGACGGCAACACAGAGACGCCCGACGGCGGCGATGAGAAGCGGCTGGAAGCCGGGGCTCCCCCGAGCGAGGCTGGTGCGAGTCCGAGTGTAGCCAGTTTTCAGGACGTCGCGTTGTGAGCTGACCGAGAGGGAGACGACAACATGATCATCATACCCAACATTGACGCGGTGACCGGGACAAGTTTTTCACGGCTGTGCGATATTGTGATTCAGCGGCGGCATCAGGAGGAGCTGGAATTGCGGGATGAAAGGGGCATCATGATTTCAGTTATTATGGCAGCGGGTTCGTGGCGGCGGCGGCAGCAGCAGCCGGGTAAGAGTGAGGAGGGGGAGGCTTCTTCTTCCCGTTTATCAAACGGAACCGTGTATCCTGGAGGCGGCGACACCTTGGTCATTTCTACGCAGCAGCGCCGGAGCAGAGGAAGAGGGCCTTGGACGAAGTTTACGCTATACCACATCTCATGCCTGTAGTTTCTTTTTCTTCTTGTTCCTCTCCCTCCTATTCAATACCTTGTTGAGACATGCACGCTCTTGAGGGATGACTGGGGAAATGATAATAATGATTGCTACATCGTTCATATGCTTTTGCTGTGATGTACGGAAAACGTGTAAAGTTGATCTCGCAACATCATCAAGTGTCTACGTTGGTGTTCTGGGATCTTAAGTTTCCCCATGGCATAAGCTGCGAGTAAATAAACTTTTTCTTTCTCGCTCGAACTGCAATCGCGAGGTGTTGGACAATCACGTATACTCAATAACATTGAGGCTCATCACCGTCCGACACAAGGAGAAAGGAATGTAAACAGGGCGTTCAGAAGGCTTTTGCCCATTCAACGTAATATTCATCATATCTCTACTTGAATCGCAAGAGAAGATGCCGCTTTCTCGGCTCAAAACATATGAAAAGTAAATAAACGGCATACTGCAGCAGCAGCAGCAGTATCTCTAACGGCCCCCATCCAATCAAAGCCTCTATCCGCTCCCCGGGAAAGAAAAAAAAAAGGCCAAGGAGCAGCCAAAAAAAAGCACGACCTTTCCAAAAAAAAAACCCCCCCCCCTTCTCTCTCTACGCACCGCCCTCCTTCCTCTGGCCGACGAAGAAGCCGAGGCCGAAGTCGTCGGTGGTGAAGGTGATCTTGCTGCCCTTGGGGAAGTAAAACACGTCGCCCTTGACGGCGTGCACCTTGTTGCCCGCCTCGTCGCTGATGTCGAACGAGCCGTCGACGATGATCTTCATCTCGTGGTACGTGTACTCGTACACGAGCGGCGTGCCCTTCTCGAGGCGGTAGAAGCCCGCGGAGATGGGCGCCGTGGGGTCGGCTTTCTCTCTGGTGGTGGTTGTTTGTGGTCAGCGCGGGTGTTCTTTTTTTTTTTCCTTTGCTTTTTTTCTCTTCTTTTTTTTGGTTGTTGGAAGGGGCAGGGGGGGAGGGAACGGCTTACGAGGTGGCGATGTCGCCGAGGAAGGCGTTCTCGTTGGCGATGAGCGGGGGCTTGAAGGTGGATTGCGCGCCGGCGAAGTGGGTCATGGGGATGGCGGACATGGTTGCGGTGTGGTGTGGGTTGGTTTTTTGTGGGTTGTGGTGGTGGGATGTGGTTCTGAATGGTCGGTCGTGTTAGATGAGTTGTTCTGATGCCGTCTTTATGCTGTACGCGTGCTGCAAAGAAGGGGGAGGGGAAGTGCTGGGAATATGACGCGTCGAACGAATCACTGCCGCAGCGGGTGGTCATGACTTACTTTTGTGCAGATGCTCAACTTCAAAGCAGCGACAATGGGCGGGAGATGATATGGAGGGAAAAAAGGAACGCAACGCCTTCACTCGTTCTTATATATCAACCTTGGGGTGAGGGGCAGACAAAGCTGCATACTATATCCGCAAACCGCTAAGAAACACACGCGCGGTTGGTAATGGGCCAGCCAGTAGTGGAGGGGCTACAGACCCAGCAGCTTCGATAACCCCGCCGTGTTGAAGCTGGGCGCCAAAGGGTGCGGTGCCGCCCCGCATTCGCCATGGTTCAGAGTGCACGCCCGTTGGTCGGAAACGTAAGCGTTCTCGGTAGCTTATCGAGAGGACGACACGCGAGCTGGACCGTTGAGCTGGGAAGCCGAGTTTGGCGGAGCGGCGGGAGAGGAATATTTTTCTGAAAGCAGCAAATTAAGCAGGGCAGGGGTTGTTCGCCGCCGCTAAGGTGGGGTCCAGGTACAGGCGGGAGATCGATAAAAAGCACTGATAAGCACGCTTTCGGCATTCTCAGGGTCTTCGCAACGAGAGGGAGATCACAAGCGGGGCGATGATAGAGAGCACGCGGATAACACCGGCTTTGTTTCGGAAAGCGAGGCGAACTGTGGCACGCGGCCTAGGCTCATGTGAGACCAACGCATGCATATACGGCGGCATGCCACACGTAGCTTCGTACAGCCCTACAGCGGGACTGTTGACAGACACCATCGCATCACGGCCGCTCTCGACGGCTTTTTGGACAGGTAAATCCCGTGCACTGTGCTGCTCGATGCCAAGCACGACGTGCAATCGCGAGTAGACGATAGGTGAGGGGCAACGGATAGGATCAGACCGAACCAAGACGCCGGGGTGGAGTAGTCATTCCCAAATAGGCAATTTGATCCCTTCGAGAGTTCTGCCGCTTCCCACCGCCCCCGGGCAATCCTCAGCCTGCCCGACGAACTTCACGTGCGCCATCATCGCTTCGAACTTGCTGTTTCGTAGCCAATCAGGACTCCAGAAACTTATAGAGACATGTCGCGGCACTGGCGAGCGAGAGTGCTCCGGTATGAAGCAGACGTAGGACGACACAGCCCAGGGAAGCCATCCTCTCAGCTTTGGCCTCAACGCCATGTCGCCTTTAATAAATAACCTCCTGCTTCAAGCCGCTAGTCGGCTCTGAACTATCCGGCATGGTACCCGTTCCCATTTTCAGTCAGCCTCAACCAAACACCTCTGCACGAGGGTGAAAAGAATTAAAAAAAGAAAACTGGGTTTTGTGTCTGCATCCGCGCTTTTAAGCCCGGGGCATACCTATCAGCTCCAGCCGCCACACTACTGCCCTCTTCCTTCCGCCTTCTCCAGCTTCTCGCCAGTTAGTGCTTTCCTTTGAACGAAGCCGAGCTTATCGCTTCTCGCTTTGAGCAGTTCCCTCGTTCTTTTCCTTGATCCTGCCCGCCGCCTCTTCCACTCTTCCCCTCGCGCGTCCGGAAAGGTTCGAAGAATGCGGAGTCTTGGCTGGCTGGCTAGGCCAACGAACAGCCCGATACGCGGGGGGAAGGTGCCATTTGGTGGCTGGCGGGACAACTAAACCCACTGGGCAGCCCGTGCGGAGGGAGGAGACACAGATCAAGATATGGAACGCCGAAGAAGTTGATTGCACATGCGGTGGTTGGCGGGGCAAAGATGCACGCAAACGCGCGGTCCGCAGCGCGGTTCGTGGTGTGACATTTCCCCCCCTCTGCCGCTGCTGGTTGTGCGGGATAAGGTGATGATCGCGCTCGGGGGGGTTTCCGATTTCATGCAGAGGGTCGTGAATGACGCTATCGGGCATGGGAAGCAGGAGACAAAAAGGGAGCTGGTCCCCCTCCCTCTCAGTGGCCTTCTCTCTCTCTCTCTCTCTCTCTCTCTCTCTCACTCTCATACACACACACACATACACACACCCGCATTCTCCCAAGTAGCTGGCTGGCTGGCTGCAGAATCCCGCGACTGTTGCTACCAAAAGCAAGTTGAACGGCTGGACAAAAATGAAGTAAGATACCCGGAAGATCCCCATCAACATTTCCGCTCCCATGTCTTCCCTCTCGTCGTATCATTGATAGTCTTTGAAACCGTTGCCCGAGATGTTTTCCAAAACACACACATACACTCCGATTGCCCCCGTTCCGATACCCATCCCAATGACAAAAATGCTGAAGCCAGATAGCAGGTGGTCTGGCAGCCAGGCATGACCGTATGAACGAGCCTGCAAGCGAATCCCGTTCAAACACCGCGTAGTTCCCAAATTGACGCCGTATACGATGATGCCCCGTCTCTCCAAAAGCATGTCTCTTCAAAGTCGAGTCCGTGCCGTGCAGACAAAACACTCGGGAGAGAAACCAAGCGCAAAATCAATCCTATCAAGACAAACTCGGAAGAATGCAACAAAGTCATGCACGCCAATGCTGTGCTTCCAGAACGATGGTGATCCGGTGAACTATCCTCGAAAATGTTCCAAAGGAAATCCCAAATCGCGCCACAAGGCAGACTCCATCTGCAAATTTTTCGACACTGCCCAGAGGCCATCAACAACCATAGCCCACACTGTCGTGAGCTGTGAAATATTATAGTGTGTAAGGAGATTCAAAGCCGGCACAAAGGCCGCCATCATGGCGTGAAAAATGATGAATTCACCTGCCCAGGGAATCCCGGCCTCAGCCAAGAAGAACTACAACATCGTTAGCCACTGTCCCGGGATGCAAGCTTTGATCGAGCACAACTGACCTTCCCAATTCCAGTCCTTCATTACGCTCAGCCAATGGAGCCGTCCCCGCACGGTGAACTCGCGGTCAACGACACCGGTGCCGAAGTCAGTCGAGCCCCTCCGTTGCTCGAGAACACTGGCAGGTGTTGGCATGTCGAACGGGCCGATGGTTGCACGCCTTTTGTTTGCGCCAACGAAATTCTCATTCCATCGCACTGGCTCATCCGTCATCTCGTCGTTCGGGCTTGGCCCACGCTTGTGAGAATTGCTACTCTTGGTCGAGACTTTCACCTTCGGCCGCACTCTCGCAGCGTACACGTCGCGCCGTACCCACACCTCTTTCGTGATGTCAAGGCAACGGTCGAGGATGCCAATCACCATGCGACTGCTCATCGCCTCCCATCGCTGCCGTACCCATTCGCGGTCTTCGCCGGTAGCAGCTTCGCAGCCTGCAGCCATGAGTGGGTAGATGTGGACGATAACGGCGCGAGAGGTCAAGGGAACCGTTGCGAGATAGATGAGGACCTTCTTCGCAAGCTCGGCAGAGGAAAGAGACGGGATCTCCGGAACTGCTTGATGAAGGTAAAGCAGCGTCGCCCACCGGTACGCCTCAGCCGTCTGGAGGCTGTGCTGGATGTGGGAGGTGGGATCCTCGGGAACCTCGAAGAAAGCTTGTGGGACCCAATCCTCCAGTTGCGTCTTGAGTTCCATCGCCTGCGAGATGACGGCCGGCGAATTGCTCTCACTTCGCCGAACACGCCGAACCAAGTTTGCTACATGACCGACAATGGGGAAAAGCGTGCCTGCGCATCCCATCAACGGATCCAGCTGGGCCTCGTACTCGAAAGGGCCGGCGAACATGGACGCAACGGCGTCGAAATCATTCGACTCATCATCATCGACGGACGTCAGTCGGGCTATGACATCCATGTACACCCAGGTGTTGCAGAGGAATTTTAACCTGGCAAGCTCGTCTCCCTGCAAAGGCGACCGCTGATGCCTGATCAGAGCCTGATGAACAAGGATCTTGGCGCCCTTGATGTGGTCTATGCCCGTTGACGTGTGCTGGTCCCACGATTCGGAAAACGCAAGAGCAAGGGTCGTGGCAATCGCGGTGTCGACACGCATGTTCTGGATGCCCGTTGCCAGGGATTCAATGCTCGTGCGCATGTGCTCGATGCCTTGGACCCTGAGCTGCGGCTCATGCTTGGACGTGTGGAAGTTGGTCATGGCCGCGATGGCGTGATACAGGGCGGGCGAATCTTTGGCAAGAGGCCATATCAGAGTCCGCCAGGGGTTCTCGGTCGGGCCGTCCTTTACCGAGAGGATACCGCAGGTTTGCTGATCGAAGCGCCACGTCATAAGCTCTGGGCTGTCCATGGCCAAGCTTGGTTCACGGAGCAGCATGTTGAACGGGTCCGACCGCGGCGTCGCGCCTCCCGACGAGCTGGAGGAGTCGGACGGGACTGGCGACGGCAATCGCATGACCCAGGCTTCATGGTCCGGGTTGACGACGGGCTGGCGCACAATCTCCTCAATGTCGTCCTCGTCCATGGCATCGGGCTGGGGCGGGTCGAAGCTGGAGGGTTGGTAGAGCGAGTCAGGATACTGGGCGCGCCAGCTGAGGTACTCGGAGGAGGGCGCGGTCATATCTGTCCCTGGTAAGAGCAGGTCCACAAGGCGTGGAGACCGTCCTGATGACAGACTGGATGGTGCCGTAGTCGCCGACTGCATCGTGTCTACGGTCTCTGCATCGTTGAACATACTCGCTGTGCTTGCGGTCGACCCACTTGGCTCAAATGGGTCGGGCATGGGCATGCCGTCCGGGGAAAGCATGAAAGGCGAGGGCGGCGGCTGGGGGAAGAAGGGGTTCGCGGCGGACAGCGGCGCGTCCATGAACGAGGGCGGCAGCGACGAGGGCGGGAACGAGGCGGACGAGGCGGGAAGGCGGGCATTGTTGGAGCTGGTGGTGAGTGCTGGTGCCGGCGGCGGGCGCTCCTGGGCTGGCGGGGTTCGGTTCGCTGGCGCCAGGCGGGCGTGGTCAGCGGGCGGGGGTGTTCCTGGGCCCGTTAGCAGCACGCTCGCCATCGTCGTCGCAGCGGGCAGCACGACGGCACCTTTGGGTTGTTTTGCAGGCTGCGGCTTGGGGCCGGTGAAGCTGGCCTCCTCGAAGGGGCGCCATTTGAAGTCCTTCTTGTAGCCGCCGCAGGCAACGCTGCGGCGGGCGCACTGCTGGCACGTGGGTTTCGTTTCGTCGCACTTCAGGCGTTTCGCCTTGCAGGTGATGCAGCCTGCGTCATGGCGGTTAGCTCGCCGTGTCTGAGGCGGACAATTGCTCGGCTTGATGGGCCGAAGCTTATCGGGCGGGAGATAAGCGTCGCATACCGTTCCTGCTCTTCGACTGCTTGCGCTTCGTGACGCCGGCGGCGGTGTTGGACGCGGGCTGCGCAGCGTCCCCGGCGGCGGCCTTCGCCTTGGGCGTCTTGGACGGGCGGCGTTGCTTGGGCGGGCTGGCGGGCGCGGGCGCGGTGTCGGCGCGTTGGTGGTGTTGCTGCTGTTGGGGCGCGGCCTCCACTGGCGAGCTGAGGAACACGGACGGGGAGGGGATGGTGATCGCTTCTGCCATATAGCTTGCGGCTCCGCCGACGAAGGGCTGTTATCTGAAGATGGATCGGGGATGCAGCAGGAGGCTCTGGGCGTGCCTGGAGACTGCAGTCGAGGGCGGAGTCGCGCAAGGCATGGGCGATGGAATGGTGGTGTCGCTGTTGCATAAACCGCCAGCTTGAAGTCCAGCGCGGAGCTCGTCCGCTAGGCCCGCCCGGGTGCTAGGCCCCGCGATCGCCTTTCTTATCTGGGCCCAGACTGCAGGCCCGCTGATTGGCCCGAGCCAGCACCAGCGCCTGCTCCACCATGATATCAGTGCCGACTAACAAGCCTCGCGCATCCACTGTCTGGCAGTCGCAGCCCCCGAAACGCGCCGCTATCTACCCGTTGTTGCTCCTGCGTCAGTGATTGCCTGTTCCTTCTCCTGTTCGTTCGGCAGTGCTGCACTTCCCGCCCTGCTTCACCCGCCCTGTGCGCCAATCGAACGCCCTGTGCCAGAGCTTCGGGTTGGGGCCTGGTGTGCAGCCGCTCGCTTCAGAAGAGAAAGAAAAAAAAATTGCGCCACGTCCCCTATCAGGGACCACGCCCTGTGGAGATGCCGGCGGACAGAGCATCGCTGCTGACTTGGTGATCCCCGGCTCGGCCGGTCGAGAACGGGCCGGCTTCCAGTCACACGCGCGGCTCCCATTGTGGTGGGATGCCATAGCGGTGAACAGAGCTTCTGGAGATGTCGAGCGATTCATGGCCTTCTCTTCGTCTGGCACGCGCCCGGCTCTAGAGCGGCGCGATGCGGTGGTCGGGCGGGGAAGGATGCCGCCCACGCCTCGCAGCAGCCGTCAATCGACTCCAGCAGCGCTGCCAATCATCGAGCTGGCCTGAGCAGTGGTCGGGAATATCGTGCTGCTCGTTCCCGGCCGTTGCAGGTGCAACAGAAGGCTGTGCGACCCATGTGCAGCCACAGCCTCATTGGTTGCCGCGCATTCCGTCGAGGGAATCGAGGATCAGGACGGGGCCGCAGCGGGCATTGAGAGGTGCGTTGGGGGTGACGGCCGACCAATGCCCATTTGGAGCGCTCCAGGGCGGGGTGGATGTCCACGGAAGCGGCACGGTGAAGGAGTGCCTCCGTATTCTGTAGCTGGTATATATCCGTGGGCCATCCCATGACCGGCAGAGGGCCCGCGACACGGCGCCAGAGCGCTGCGGTGAGTGGTACCGGCCGCGTGGACGAGGCACGGGTCGGTGCAGGGGAGGAAATGCGGCTCCCTGGGCTTGGGGAGCGCTGCGACGGGCCCCTGAGGCTCGAGTGGCAACGCTGGCTGGAGAGAAAGCGATGGGCAGTGAGGGCCGACGTGGTGACAAGACCATCTAATCTCCCCCGAGCTGTGCCCGCGCCATCTCCCCGCCGTGCCGCCGCCTCCTTCCCCATGTTTCAGCGGAAGGCGCGGTCCGACCGAGACGGCCGAGGCTATGGGCAGCCACTCCGGCGCCAGCAAAGTCGTTGCCGCCAGTCCAGTCCTGTCCGCCCACAGCAGCCCTTCGTACCCGCCCAGCCAAACGCGAGCCATCGAGCAGACCGCACCAAGACGCCCGGTGCGACAGCCCGCAGAGCTGAGGCAGACAAATCTGACATTATTGCGCGCACCAAGCCTTGGATTCGCGGCTGTTCCCCTGTTCCGCTCGAGCTCGGGCCAGGTATCTGGAGTAGCTGAGCCGAGGGACCCCGCCATTGCCGACCCAGCGAGGCCGACGCTGGCCGGCTGCAGGTTGTTGCAAGACTGACTTCATTCTTCACCCCGACGAACCTTTTGTGCCGGTACCCTCCTCGTTCGTCGCGCTCTCCAATTGCTCTACAGGTCAATTGGAAGCCGTGCTGATTCGTCATGTCCGCCCTCACCAGCAGCTTCTGCCGTCAAGCAGCTCGCACTCTCCGCCCCAGGCCAGCTCTCGCAAGCTCTGCCAGAGCTCTCCGTCCCGTCGCGCTTCAAGCCGCCCGCCCGCCCATCATCTCCCGCATTTCGAGAGCCTCGTTCGCCACCACCATGCCTACCAAGAGCGACAATGCCACCGCCGTGCCCGCCGGCAAGAACGAATTCGACCCCGAGGTCGTCGACATTGCGAGCTATGTCCACAACTTCAAGATCGACTCGCCCCTCGCCGTACGCACATCCTCCTCTCCGCTTACCTCACTCTCTCCAATCTTACCCGTCCACAGTTCGACACCGCCCGCTGGGTCTTCCTCGACACCCTGGGCTGCGGTCTGAAGGCTCTCGAGTTCCCCCAGTGCACCAAGCTGCTCGGCCCCGTTGTCGAGGGCACCTCCGTCCCCAATGGCACTCGTGTGCCCGGCACCCCCTACCAGCTCGATCCCGTGCATGGTGCCTTCAACATCGGCGCCATGATCCGCTGGCTTGATTTCAATGATTGCTGGCTCGCCGCGGAATGGGGTCACCCTTCCGACAACCTGGGCGCCATCCTCGCCGTCGCAGACTGGATCTCGCGCACGAACCGCGCCGGTGGTAATCTGGGCAATGGCAAGGTCTTGAAGGTCAAGGACGTGCTGGAGGCCATGATCAAGGCCCACGAGATCCAGGGCGTCATGGCTCTCGAGAACTCGTTCAACAAGGTCGGCCTGGACCACGTCGTCCTGGTCAAGCTTGCCTCGGCTGCCGTTGTGTCCAAGATGCTCGGCCTCAACGAGGCGCAGACCCGCGACGCCATCACCCAGGCCTGGGTCGACGGCCAGTCCATGCGTACCTACCGCCACTCTCCCAACACCATGTCCCGCAAGTCGTGGGCTGCCGGTGATGCCTGCGAGAGGGCTGTTAACCTTGTCCTGAAGGTTCTCAAGGGCGAGGGCGGCATGCCGACCGTGCTTTCCGCCCCGACCTGGGGCTTCTACGACGTCAACTTCAAGGGTGGCAAGTTCCAGTTCCAGAGGCCCTACGGTAGCTACATCATGGAGAATGTCCTGTTCAAGGTCTCCTACCCTGGTACGTTACACCCAAGAAAATAATTGCGAACAAATCACTCACCTGCCCAGCCGAGTTCCACTCCCAGACTGCCATCGAGGCCGCTCAGCGCTTGAACTCGAAACTGAAGGCCATGGGCAAGACCGCCGAGGACATCGAGTCCGTGACCAACCGGACTCACGAGGCCTGCATTCGCATCATCGACAAGCAGCTGAAGCCAATGGACAACTTTGCCGACCGTGATCACTGCGTTCAAGTATGTCGCTACCCGTGCATTCGTTGGCAATATCACTCACACAATCTATAGTACATGGTTGCGACTATGTTCGTCTTCAACCGTCTTGAGGCGAGCGATTACACCGACGGCAGCGAGGCTGCTACGTCGCAGCTGGTTGAATCTCTTCGTAGGCGCATTTCTTGCGTCGAGGACCCGCAATTCACCAAGGACTACCACGACCCTGAGAAGCGCACCATTTCCAACGCGTTGACCGTCACTCTCAAGGACGGCACTGTTCTTGATGAGGAGAGAGTCGAGGCCCCGCTGGGCCACAAGCTGAGAAGAGAGGAGGCCAAGCCTCACATTTTGAACAAGTACAAGGCTCACCTCGCTCCCCATTACCCGGAGCAGAGGGTCAAGGAGCTGGTCGAGCTTGGCCAGGATCAGAGCAAGTTGGAGCAGATGGATGTCGACAAGTATGTTGACCTCTATGTAACGAACTAATTTTGGAAATGGATGGGCCGCGGCACACATGAATGGGTAGACAGTGAAAGCAGCTAGAACAGCAGCAATGGAGGAAATGTATTGAAAAATATTCAGGAAATCATGACCTCAATCACCAAACACTATGTGTTCGGAGCGGCCAGTCTCCCCGTGAAAAGCTTTCAGTGAACTTCATCCAGCACGTTTCTGAGCACAATGCCTCGGAACGGCCTCAGCCCAGCCATTAGCTGGCTAGTCACACCGAGATTTTTGAAAGAAACAACTTATATTCAACCCTAACGTAAAACCTGAGTGATGCTAAAGAGATGCAGGAAGCAAGCCCTTTGTCATCCTGACCCCATATTCTGCAAGGTATCCGGTCGTTCAAACCCGCATCTGCTTCTTCCCCAAACTCGATTCCTGGTTTTCTGGAGGGAGATAGGACTGAAGCCAAGGTATCATCATTTGTCATGATTTGCAAGAGCGTTTCCCAGTCTATGATGGCTAATCCAGTCGAGTTCACAGGGAATCATAGTCGACCAACGTCACGACATCAACACTTACGTACGACAAACCCCACGAAATAGCCTTGATAAGAAGCTATTGCCAATTTGAGCCTTCCAGAGCTCAATGGTGAGGCAACAACCAACCGTGCCAACGTGAAAGCCGTGCTCCAATCCCAAGTGCGCTACTCCGCACAAGTCAGCCTGCCGAAAAGCATATTCCCACTACTCCTTCCTCCGCGTTCGACTCACCATCCACGGAATGCCGTTTCGCACCGCGTTCCGCCATCAGCACCCGTGGATTCAGCGAAGCAGGAAGGCGGCACCGAACTGCTGCAACAAGCGCCGCCGCTCTGCAGCGGAGGGCTTACAACAACACCCACTGCCGGCCGGCATGCTGTGCTGTATATCGTATCTCGGCATACTTGCTTCAGTGTTCTGTTTCAAGACGGATTTCTTTTCGTGACTGGCTGTGGTTCCGTTTTGTTCCAGCTTTTATCATCGTCGGTCGAGGAGGAGGCGAACTAAAGTAAGTAATCGTCAGTCATCCTCGAATGCGGCGGCGGCGATGGTAGTGGCGTCCATGCTATGTGAATGGACATCCTCTTTTTGTTTTATTCTACAAATCCTCGTTACTGGTGGATTGAGAAGGAGGCGGCGGCGGTGATGGATGGCGATGGCGACGAAGATTAAACTTTAGGGATTCTAAATATCGGAGATGGATGCTCATGCTGCAGGGGAAACCGGACCGTGGACGCTTTTTTTTCGGTAAGAAAGTGGGAAGGGGGGCTGCTGATGGGGAGGGAGGGTGAGTGGGGAAGATTAGGTTTGTCGAGGGGCCGGAATGGGAGAGAAATATTGTTGCTGAAGGACACGTTGGATGGGCAGGGTTGGAAGGAGGGAGGGATGTCCATTAGAGAGGATGCCAGAAATATTAAGCCAACCAGGTACTGAACTTCAGTGCGGCGTCGTTCTTTTGCCAGCCTGACAATGTTTTTTCTCTCTTTCCAAGGCTGCATTGGTTCCAGATATCTCGCTATCACTGGTTGAGGATGCAGCGACCGGGTATGGGAGTTCGGAAAGATGGCATTGCATTCGACACTTTTGGTGACCTACCCATCTGAGTTTTTGATTAAATGTCATCGTCAATTCCGTTGCGTGTTGTGCACTCTTCTCTCTGATGCCTTGATTCTCCTAGCTACCTACTAGTAAGCAGCAATGTCCAAACAGACGCCCTTGGGCCAATTTCGCCTTTACTTATATCTTCGAGCACCAATATGGGTATCGCAACAACGAGAACAGAAGTAAACAGATCTCCTTGGATCGATTCAAGGTAGCGGTCGACAAGGGGCAAGGCAGCATCGAGCAAGAACAGAAGAACAACTGCCCAAACCGGCTTCGCCACCTCCCGTGAGCACGGCGACACGAACGTATTACATCGTACGTAAACACGACGCCATACAGTCAAAACTTGATAAATCGCATGTTCAACAGAATCCGCAAACGGGAAAGGACTTGATCGGAGCCAGCGGCGATCTACAAAACGGCGTACCGGGCCAAGGGACCCTCTTCCTTCGCCGAACGCCCTCGGAAGTCTTCGAAAATGCGGCCTAACATAGACGTACGTCAGCAGGGATACCAGCGCCGTCGACGTCGACAAACGCTGCTTCGTCGACGCCTCCCCAGCCAGCCCGACGCCACCGACGAGTCTCTCAACGCAGCCGCAAAACGCATAAACACCGCACAGCACCAACACCTCGACAGTGACAGCGCGAACAACCTCGCAATGAGGATCGTCCACCTCGCCGACCGACTGGCCGGAAACGCTCCTGCTCGAGCTAGCCAACTCATCGTTCCGCGCGCGCCGGAAAAGCAAGTGCGCGGGGACCCACGGCTGGAGGCCGGCGTGCTGGCGGATGTAAATCTGGCGGATGAGGCCCTCGGTCCTGCGGCGGGAGAAGTCGAAGGTGCGCAGCGGCCAGCCCTCGACGCGGCCGAACTGCGTGCCGTCGTCGGAGACGCACACGAGCGGGACGCCGACGCCGTGTAAGACGGTGTAGTCGGGCGAACTCGGCTCGCGCGTGGTGCAGTCGAGGATGGCGTGGAAGACGGTGCTGCTGTGCGAGGCGGACGGGACGAGCGGCAGCTTGATCTGGAGGCCCTTGTTCGTCATCATGTACGGCGTGCGCCAGTAGTGGAAGCCGGCCGCCGGCCGCCGGTTGCGGATGTTGGGCGAGAACTGCTGGGGCGTCTCGGCGAGGACGCCGCGGTAGCCGTGGCAGATTTGGTCGCGCGCGTCGTCGTCGGGTGCCGGCGAGGGCTCCAGCGGGGTCCAGGCGAGGAGGGACTGATCGTCGGAGACCTTCATAATTTCCTCCTGCAGGCGCTGGAAGGCTTTGTGGCCCTCGCCGTAGAGCAGGGGCATGTTGACGCCGACGATGCCCATCAGGCAGTAGGCTGTGTCTTCCAGGCGCGTCGTTTGCCGCTTCGACGCCCAGGACATGCGGGAGGCGATGCTGACGGATCTGTCTTGTTGGAAACGGAGGAGGCTGCGTTTGCCGATGCCAGTGATGTAAGAGATTATTCGGTAATGATCCCCCTTGGTGCCCATGTGAAGCCAGTCTCTACTGTAGAAGATGACGGTGGCGGGGGCAATGAGCTCTTGCAGAGTCCAGCCCCTTGTAAACCATCGACTCTGAGCAAATTCGCTGTCCAAGGCGATTCTGTTATCGGAGACGTCACTTAGGTAGACGAAGCACGCGCATGAAGATCTGTACCAGCGGAACATGGAATTGATGGACTCAGAAAGCTCGGCACTGCTGGACTTGTCGATACAGCAGGTATCAGCCCACGCCCACTGGTAGCCTGCCTCGGCGGCTTTCCCGCAGAAGCTTTCAACCTTCAGGAAGCCGCTTTTCATTTGGATGGCCTGGTCCCTGTCTTTCGCGAGCCATTCTTGGAAGGTCACCTCTTGGTCACCCCAGGTGTGGGAAAGGATGGCGTAGGGCGGTGGGTCAGCCGGGAAATAATGCAGGGTCAGAGTGGACGTATTCAACAGTCGCATGGTGTGTGCAAGAACTGGACCAGAGGGTACGGTGTAGTTGGCGGGGCGGAAGGGGTGAGGCGGGGAGCCGCGAGCTTTGTTTCCCCTGGCAGCTGAAACGTGGGGGCCATCAGCCACAGGGTGTTAGCTGGTGGCTGGGAAGCGAGCCAATCATCCTCTTCTACTAGGCATGAGAAGATGGTGAGCAGTGGTGATGGTAGGTTAAAAAAGCGTTGGTGGCACAGTGGTAGGCGTAATGGCCGGCCGAGAACGGACCGAGTGGTGATCTCCCGCATCCCTACTACGTAGTATGATGCAACCGCGGAGGACATGCCCTTCACTGCAATCTGGCCGATTGAGATGAGGCTGTAGGGCTGACTAGCAAAAACTTCACTTCTAGAGGATTTCTAGACTGAAGACGTTTGCTAGCGCGGGTGGAGGCATCGCATGAACCGTCAGGCACGGTAAAGCAAAGCACCCCTCGATCTTCAAAACGGCGAAGTGTTAAGGCCGTGCGAAAGCAGGTCGTCGGAGCGCAGGACAAAGATGGTAATATGGTGTTCTAGATTTCGGTCACGGCATCTTGAGACAATGTCCGGTCTCAGAAGCGGCATATGGCTAGGGACCGAACGCACGTCTCAGGCACGGCACTCCGCAGCCCCCGAGGGGGAAGTGAAGATGGTTGCGTGCGCTGGCTCACGCGCCAAGCGTGGCCGAAAAGGGGTCGGCGCGAGAAAAATCAAAGGGTTCGATGAAAGGAGACGAGGCCGGGGGATGGAAACGGCGAAAGGCACCGGCAGAGGGAACACAGGACAAGCTGAGGTGGGAGAAGACTGGGCGAATGAGGAACGGCAGAGACGAGGGAAAAACTCGGATGGCGGGAGTCGCGGAAGTCGCGGGTTGGAATTCGCGCGCGGTATCGGCAGACACACGATGCAGGCGGCTCGGTGTTGATGTTTCGAGCAGCCGCCGTTCACGGCGCAAAAGGCGCCCTGCCACGGCGGCCAATGAGGGCGGCGGAGAAAGAAGCTCAACGGCCCACGATAGTACGAGCTTGCTTCGAGCGGTTTGACGTTGCGGCGTTCAGGAAGGTTGGAGGCGCTGGGATTGGGTAATTTCAGGGCGGTCGCAGGGCTGTAGTCGCGCATTGGAGAGATTGATGAGTCCGAATTAGCGCCGCTCGACCGGCTGGCGGCCAGGGCGCAGTTGGTTGCGCGAGACGCCCTCGCTAGCCACGTCAAAGGCGGCTCTCAGGCCGCCCTTTAGCACCGGCCCTGGTGGCGGCGGGCTCATCTGCGCCTGAGGCTGCCCATCTGCGCCTGACGAGGCTGCTTGCTCGGGCGCGAGCAGCATCCTTTGGCCGGCGTCGTGCCCAGCAGCCCCGCAGCTCTCGGGCGACGGCAGGCACGGGCGGGTTTGGGCGGGCGGAGTCGGTGTCGGGGTTGGGAGGCGCAGCAGTGCTGGCGGTTGATGATGCGGGGGCGGGAGCAGAGCTGGATGGGCGCGGCAGGGCGCGGCTCCAGCACGGCATTCAGCTGGGCCGGTGCCGACGCGCAACTGACGAGACGCTCTTCACTGCCACTGCGCATTGCCCATTGCCGCGCGCATCCGCTGGCGGGCGGAGGGCGGGCGACGAGCGACGAGGCACCCAAAAATAATGATGATGCGCGGTACCGTGGCTGCGTCGCGGTGTGGGTTTGCTCCAACTCTGGCGCCAGGGTCTGCTAGCGTCGCGCCAGAGGAGCGTTTGGGAGCCCGAGGCCGCGAGCACCGAGCACGCATCTGGCAATCAGCAAACGGCGCGAGCCCAACCGCGAATCGCACGGATCGGCACCGCGCCCCGGCCAGGGCTGGTGGCTGCCTCTCAAAGAATCCTGCTAGCCTGGGCGAGCGCGAAACAGGACGCCGGCAGATGACGTGGGTCGGGCTAGCAGCATGACTGTGCGCCCATCGCACCCGCCGAGTCAGCTGCTGACCGCTGCCGCCCCGGGCTCCGTACGAGCAATCACAAGCCACTCCCGAATTCCGTGCTAGTCTCCCACGGCTTCCTGAACTTTGCCATCATACATGCACATAAGAGTCCACTTTCCCCGACCACCCCCAATCCGTTTGCAAACAAGCCTGCTGGTTCCGGCAACCACCAAAACCAACCCGCTTCGACTCAAACCCACCCCCGCTCACCACCACTTCCACCACCACGACAACAACATTCGCCCACCATGAGACCCTCCCCGCCCGGCATGGTCCTCAACCTGCCCGCCCACACCCAGAAGCAGCTGGCCCTCATGGCCGCCTCGCCCGCCCCCAAGGTCTCGGACGACGCCTCGCCCATGGACCAGTACCGCCTCACCATGGCCCAGCGCTACCGCCAGCAGATCCAGCACATCATGGACGCCGACCTGCTGGCCCAAGACCCGGACGCCATCACCCCGGCTCCCATCACCACCACCAGCCAGATTACCAACGCCATCCTCACCGCCGACTTTGACGAGGTCGAGGTGGAAGAGGAGGAAGACGACGAGCTGCTGCCGCCCTACGAGGAGGAGGACAACGCCTCGGACTGCACCATCACCGTCCAGGAGATCGACTCGCCCGACACGCCCTCGGACAACAACACGCTCGGCACCAGCCACTTCTTCGCCGACTACTCGGCCGTCAACGGCGAGCGCCCCAACAGCGCCTCGTCGGAGCCCACGTCCATCGTGCAGGTCGACTTTGAGCCGAAGCAGCTGGGCCGCGCCCGCGCCCTGACCCTCACCAAGAAGGGCGCCGTCAGCGTCGTCGAGAAGCCGAGCGCCTGCCGCGAGCACCACTTCCTGCGGCCGCGCAGCCGGAGCAACAGCGCCGGCAACAAGGGGGATGCCACGGCCCGCCCCAAAATCAGCTCCCGCAACTCCAAGGTGCGCAAGCAGCTGGCCTCGCTCTTCGGCTCCAAGGCCCACGACCATTCCCGCCAAACCACGACGGTCCGCACCGGCGCCGTCCTATGACTCGGTTGCGGGGGTTTTGTCTGCGATCTCATCGCCACCGGCCTGAACAAAGTCTTTTGCGTGCGCCTCACGGTAGACGCGCCTGCCAGTACTACTACGATCACTCCCGCCAAAAGCGGTTGAAGTGGTTGACCAGGGAACAAAAAGTGTTTAATTTTTTTTCTCAACACACCACAGAATGGTGTACCGCCAAGTTGGCCGGCCTCGTCAGCAATGGTCCTATTTTTGGGAACATTTGCGTCGGATTGGCGGGTCGCACAAGAACGGCCCCCGTTCGCGGCGCGAAAAAGGATCCGACCCCTTTGTTGCTTGATCCAAGGGGGGGCTGAGGCTTACCGCTCCCTGCGCCACCCACGTCTTCCACAAGCTCCCCATGCCCATATCATCCCCTTGTCACAAGGCAGACGAGCGGGACGGATGAACAGCAAAAAAAAGAGAGGGGCATGGACCGGATTTGGGCCAGTGCGCGGGGGGAAGATTTGCGCAACGTCGCAAGAGGAGGTTAGATTTGGGGATCAATATCCTGAGACTGGAATTGCGTGCAGTCCCCGGACGACGACTGAAACGTTTCCTTTGTCTAATATACATGTTTGTTATGCATGATGCCGGGCTGGGGCGGAGGGGCGGGAAAGGGTGTTCGCATCGGAAAGAGGGGCAATGGCGTTTCTGGGACCATCCGGGATTCGGGATACGGAGTTTTTTGTTTTCTACTAGACAGCAAACATGTGCGCAAGCACTCACGGAAGGGAGAGGGGAGGGGGATTGTCGCACATTAGATACCCTGACGGCAAGAAAGCATATTTTCGGCACTACTACAGCTGTTTCCTCGATCAAAACGAAGGTGAATCTTCATGTCGTCTGCACCTTCGCTTACAAAGCGACGCGCCCGGGTACCACTTTCCCACTTGCTTGAACGGGAAGGTAGCCACGCCTGCTCTCGCCTCATAACATGGCCGACCTCGACTCATTATTACGCCTACGTGTCGCCGCTGCCGCTGCTGTATGCACACGGCGGTGCGCGTCGCGTCGTCGTCACGTCCAGCACAGCACACTGCACAGCGCACAACCCTCGTGTTTCCCCTGGACGAAACAGAAGAAGGCCGGCCGAGCAAATCACCATCTATCCGGACTCCGTACCATATCTCGTTCCGCGACTCGGCCGTGCAGCCGCCGGAACCGGGAGTGTTTGTTGTCCCTGTCGTCGTCAGAGGGCCGAGCTCTAGAACGACCCCCATTTGTAACTGGGGTCGTGCGTTGCTCCGGGCTGCTGAGATGATGGATGCCTGCGGGTACCTAGCCGTAAGCGCGTCATCAATCATCAATAATCATCATCATCATCGTCGTCGTCTCAGCCGCAGCTTTTTTTTTACCGCTCGGCGCAAGCAAGAAAAAAAAAACCGAGCCCTAACGATCATCATCATCATCAATCACCACCGCGCCCGCCTTTTTCCGTGCTTTCTCCGGCGCAAGCAAAGATGGCACGGCAAAAAAACCCAGCCCCGGCCGGCTTGCTCTGCCAACATTAAAACGAACGGCTAAGTTGGAATGCAGCGCGCGCAGCCACGCGAAAACGCGTCAGCTGAACAGCAGAAAATCGATATTGGCGATGACACTTCGTCGTCGTCGTCGTCGTCACCGACCGCAGCTGCAAGCCGCAAGTTTCGCAATCGAAGCAAGGCATGTAGTAAACGGGAAAAAAAAAAAAAACAGGTAACCAGTCGGAAGCGCAGGGATGCAGCATGGCAGCTTTTGCCCTTGGCGTTGGATTGCCGTTGCTGCCGCGGAATACCGTTGCTGCCGCTTGATCGCTTGCCCGGCAGGGGTGGGTGGCTGGGCTGGGCTGGGGTCCCGCGAGCTTCCCTGTGGACAGCCCACGACGAGTACCTACTGGTGGTGCTAAGGTGATGTTGGCGTGATGCCTGGCAACGGCCAAGGTTCGCGAGCCTCGGCCGACTGCAAGAAGAATAAGGGAGAATCAATCACAGGCGGCTGGTCGGTCTGGCCCGCCGAGGGGTTGTTGTTGTTGCCTTGCTGGTTGGTTGGTTGGTTGCTCTTTTTGCTGCGCGTTTTTGGTGTGTGGAGCACACGGCAGCCGGCTCACGTGCTGCGTTAGCCCTCTCACGATAGCATCGCATGTTCGCGGCGAGGGGGGCGCGTCGTCGTCGTGTGGGGAATGCCAACTGCTTGGGGCGGGGAATAATTGGAGCAAAAACACATTGGCACCGACCAAGCGTGGCTGTGCGCTGGCGGGCTGGCGGGCTGGCTGGCTGGCTGGCTGTGTGCTGTTGCACCGCCCAAATACCGAGAGCTGATGGGATTCTTCGCCCTTGGCAATTCCTTCCAGCATGTGGGCCGGTGAGGATGAAAACGTGGCGCATCGTCAAACAAGAGATGAGGCGAGTAATGCAGATATTGGAAAGTGAGCTACGTGGTCGGGCGCCACTTGATTTCCACATTCCTGGCAGATTGGTATTGCAGTCGGGCTCGAGAATCGCAAACAACCTGCAACCTTGGTCGTCCTTCATCACCAGACTGGCTTTTCAGCAGCAGCGCCATGTTGCTGGGCTCATCACTCGGCGCGGCACAGCTTCCACAAGGCGCATGACGTCGCACGCGGGGTAGGTAGGAGAGACATTGGACAAGCACGATTATTGCCCTGCGCGGAAAAGAGAGAGGTCATCAACGACCATGGGCCACGGGCCAGACAGCCGGCAGGAAAAGCTTGCTTCTCATGTGCATTGGTTTCGCTGGTTCAGTGAGCACATCCCGCAAAAGCAATAAACAAGCATGCATCATGCAGGTGCAGCCTAGTGCGCATTTCGCAATCGAAGGCACAAGGCTCTTGTCCGTTTCTCGCGGGGATGCTGACAAAAAGAGGCACCCTGCTGATCCTCCAAACCCACGTTGGGCCGAGAATGCAAATGCTTGTCGCATCACGCATCACGCATCACGCATCTCTCTCTCTTTCTCTCTCTCTCTTTTGCCCAGCCGCACGGCACACGGTCAGTGTCAATGTGATCGGCGGTGCTTACAAGCGTTAGCGCGGCGCAGATCCCACAATACACACAGCCCAGTGCGGTGTGCGAAAGAGAGAAGACTCCTTCGGGAATGGTGGGTGGTGTGTTTGCGGATGGGGTGGGAGTGGCCCCATCTCCGACGTCGGAGACGAGCCCCGGCCCGCCTTGGTTGGCCACCTGTGAGGATGGATTATTGCATGGCGCGGGGAAAGCGGGGGAGAGGGACAGCGGAGCAAAAGGAAAGAAAAGCGAGCCAAGGCGAGGCGTCGACCAACCCACTGACTCACACTACTGCTGCTCGTTGCTCGACCGCCTCGCCACAGCAGCTGTCCGCTCCGTGTACCTTGCTTATCAAGCCTGAGGCGCAAAGCTAACCGGGGCGGTGGAGATGGAGGCGTCAAGGCAGTATGGTTTGGCGCTTGGTGCAGCGAAAGTTAGGCTTGTGCGGATCGACGACGTGCGCCAAGTGGGACTTTTTCTCCTCGGACCACTCCTCCCCATTGGTCGATTTATTGCAAGTGGATTCTTTGACATTCGTCTAATATTATGCGCTTCCCGTAAGCCAGCCGGCCCGCGCCACCGTTTTGCTTCCACCACCAGCACTGTGTGAATGAAAGCCCCATCATCCCCGTCACCGCTGATCTGCGAAGAGAGAGAAAAAAAAAAAAGGCCCGCCCGCCCGCTGGTCACGCGCACGCCCTTGTGTTTTTCTTTCTTTCACGCATGAGCTTATGGCGCTATCTGGATCGCAAATGTCCTCAATCAATCAATCCATCAATAATCCCTGCGGCCCGAGGATGATGATAACGTTATCAGTCAAGCATTGCAGATCACCACCAACCAACCCCAACCGGCTCGTGATTGTCGCCCTGCCCTTCGCGCGCACGCGAGGCTGTCGTTTGACTTCACATCCATCTCAGCTGCCTCGTCGTATCCGAACCCCAGTAGCACACACACACACACACACACACACACACAACACGCCGATAAGAAATCCCACCGCGCCCTGCATCATGCGCCAGCCCGAACAGCTTTACATGGAGAACAATATTCGAACTCCTCCTGACACCGACGCCGTACCGCGTTGTCTCTGACCGCTGTCTGTCGCCACGAGTGACTAACAACCCCCCAGCGATCACCACCACCACCCAAAAGCAGCCACAACCACCCCCCACCCCACTCCGCCAAGTGCCCAAACCCCGTTCGTAGCGACGATCCCTCGTCGACCCGCACCCGTAGAAGCAGAAGAACTAGTACCAGCAGTAGCAGCAGTAGCAGCAGCAGCAGCAGTAGCACTAGCGCCGGTACTCGCAACCGAGCCTCCTCCGCGCCATGTCGTCTTCGTTATCGTCGTCATCTGACTTGCATTCCCGGCCCCACCGGCGGCCCCAGCGGCGCCGCCGCCAGTAGTAGTAGTCCCATCTTCGCCTCGCGCTGATGCAGCAGAGCCGCCGCCGCCACTACTGCCAGATGTGGACCCTGGCCGAGTAGTGGTGATAGTCGCGCCCACCGCCATCATGGTGGAGGCCCTGTTGCTGGTGGGGGTGCTGAGGGTGGTCTGTCCGCCGGCTGGATTGACGGTCGGCGATGAGAGGGGAGGGGGGAGAGTATGGCGAGGAGGGCACGGACTGGATGCCGACGCTTGCTGTCGTTGGTGCTTGGGTGGTACTGGTGGATTGAGGAGAAGGGGGGGAGGAGGACGATCCGGGGTCTTTGGGTTCTGGGAGGGTGGTGGTGGTGGGGGTGGTGGTGGTTGTTGTCGTCGTCGTCGTCGTCGTCGTGGTTGCCTGGCTGCTGGCGGTGCTTGATGATGGCGATGGCGACGACGGCGACGGGCTGTCGTGCGTGGTGGGGTTTTGAGAATGTATGGACCGGCTGCTAGCAATGACCACCAGCATGGAAGTGGATGAGTGCCATGATGCTGGGTTGGGAGTAGGGCTGTGGTTGTTATCAGGGCCCGTGGTTGGTTGTGTGCCTGATGAATCGTGTACTATGGACGGGTCATTGGAAGTAGGTGTAGGTGATGGGGTTTCCTGAACTCGTACACTCTGTGGTGGCTTGCTGGTGCGCTTAGCTGTCGAACTGTCGACAACAAGTGAGGTTCCGGGAGCAGATGACAGCCCTTTCGGAGGCAGAATAGTGGCGATAGTGGTTTCATGGGAGCTTGCAGATAGCTGTGTGGATGGTGGCCCTTGTACACCGACTGGGATACCCAACGAGGGTGTAGGAAGCGTAGTTTTCTGAGATGGTATGCTCTTTGATGGCTTTGGCTTGCTGTTATGTTCAACGGCTGGACTATCGGACACAAGCCAAGTCCCGGGCACAGTTGACAACGCTTTTGCTGGCCCAGAATCATCCCCTGATATTGATGGCGTTGAAGCGGTATGAGGAGAAGACTGGGGAGGTTCCAAAATTTCCAGAGTTGATGGGGTTGCGCCACTGCTGGTTTGCGTCCTGGAGCCTGGGTTTTCAAGTGAAGATGAGCCAGCAACACCATTAGTCCACTATCTAGAGTCTGTTGAGACGCTAGATGAGGAACGAGGCATAGATGGTACTACTGAAGTCGATTGGTGGCTACCTGACGAAGAGAAATGTGGCAATGAGGCTACCACATGGCTTTTGTTTGGTGACTGCGACTTCACGGGAAGTGAATTGCTTCTTGAAGTGAGACCAAGATTCGTATCTGAAGGCTTACTGGGCTTCAAATTCGACAGAGGACGAGTAACGTGCTTTGTCTTATTTTCGGCGTCTGTAAGTGTTGCCTTTGTGATAAGTGGCATCGGACCGGGAGCTGTAGTAACCGTTGTCGATGTAAATTGCCAACAATCTGACAGGGACCACGAGCTATCGGTCATGCCGCAGGATGGTGGGAGCGTTTTGAATCTTGACGAAAGGGGAGAATTCGTATTAGAAATGAAAGTCGGCACGGTGATGACTTTGGTTGTTGTGGTTGTAGTAGTGGTCGATGAAGTCGTAAAGCGTCCGCCTTGGTGCGTGTATATCGAATTGGGACGGTTTGCAAGTGGCGTCAAGGTGGAAGATGAAATGAAGGGACCTGAACCATGCCATGATGTTCTGAGGCTTTCACTGGTACTTCGCCCAATGCTCTTGGGAAACTTCGAGGTGGCCGTACGGCTCTTTGTTCTTGACTTTGTGATTGACGAAGTGTAATACGGGACGAAAACTGGCGTTGAATTTGGATTGGTTGCATGCGTTGTGCACGATGAACTACCTGTTCCTATCTGCGAAGGATGTACCAAGCCGCGAGCGCCAACAATCTGACATTGGGAAGCGTTGCCGAAGGTGCATTTCACAGGATCCACATCAGGATATGTAGACGTGATTGTCGGAATGAGAGACTGCAAGACTGGATAAGGTAAGGCTGAAACTGTCTCTGAACCATCTGTAGTTGTCGCTGGGTAGACGATGGGAGCCTGGAGTGACAGTGTTTCGAAAGTCAGGCCGCATCGCGAATCGAAGTCCCCCTTCTGTGAAGTTGCGAATCGTATCCGATCAAATGAAGAGTAGTTTGTGCCATACGTACTGGAGCTGTCAGCCAACTCGGGTCAGCTAAAGGTAGACCACCCGATACTGACAGTGTCAAGCCGTTTGTGAACCATACCGTCGGTATTGGTATAGCACCACGAGGTTCCGTAGTCGAGATCGTAGCCGATATTTGCTCAGTAGTGTACGACTGATGCCCGTCGACGTCAACGTAAGTGATGATGAGGATCTCAATCGTGATTGTTGTCCATATCACAGAACCCTCAGGGAAAGTGAGCAGCGAAGGATAGACGGCCTCCAATACGCAGCCGATACTTGATGACTTCGAGGGTGAGATGGCATTAGGGCTATCGATGGATTCAGGTGGCCCCGGATGAGTGAATCCAAGGTCTCAGAAATACATCAGTGAAATGAGGAGTGAGATCATGAGCTGCATTTTAGCAGCGTGAAACAGAATTTGGTATGTGGAGAGAAATCAAAGAACGATGCTCAAGCAAAACGAATGAGCTTGATATTCAATGGCTGTTATGAGGGTTGGCGCTTTCTCATCAAACTGTTCCCTCTGACGGACACTTTATAAATCTCATGCTGACCATGCGGTATACAAGTTGCCTTGCGGATTGGCGGCTCCCAGCCGCAAGAACCCAGCCTTCGGATAACATCATAGATAGAGGTTCTAGAATGGTCACGGTAGTGCGCCCGATGTACGCCACCCTAACGTAATGTAGAAGACTCTGGACAGATTAATTGTAACTTGCATACATTATCTAAAGTGTAGGGATCATCTTCTAGGCTGTAGTTAGCATTAGGCTGGCCCTAAAGATAGATTACACAGCATTAATGTTGTACTTCGGCCAACAGGTACCCGCAACTGATAATCATGGGCTCGAAACCCTTTTAAGGACGGAAGCGTGCGTATGCAAATCAGCCGCAACCGCAAAAATCACCAGTCACACAGGAAATCGGCACCCAATTTACCATCGCTTCGTTCTCAGGTTTCCCAACTATGCCAAATGTCTCGGAGACTTGTACTTCCTATCAAGGTATGGATGTATGATATACTTAAATAAGAAATGCTATACATTTACCAGATAAGATAATTAGTCATAGAAATATGGCGCCCGCAAACCGTATTCTCGGGCACTGGTTTCGATACTTATGGAGCTCACGCAAGATTCCTTCTATATATTGGAATAAGTAAGCAACGGACTGTAAAAGTTGAGGTTAAAAAATTGGTTGGTATATCCACCGGTTGAATTTTCACGGAAGCACTTTGGTTTTTATCGCATTACATAAATTATGGCGCTTACCGCTATGGCACTAATTGAAGGGGGCTTAAAAGAGGGTGGAAAGTTATGGCTCGCTATGCATAAAATTGTCTGCGTAAGATGGATGACCTCGGTAGGAAAGGTAAGCTATTATGACTGTATTGCATCGAGGATATATTAATCTAGTGCAAGCGGGTCCCTCTTTGACCATAGCATAGCTGGATTAGAACGATGAGGGTGGTGGTAAGAGATTTATCGTTTTAGCATGTCCATTTTGGAGTCCTGAGAGATCCTACGGCAATGAGACTACCGGTGTAGCTTGTCGTTGTCGCGACTGGCGGGATTGTGGCTCGGTTGACTGAGCCGATTCATTTATATGTGCTAGTAGGGGCATTGACTAGAGGATGGTAAAAGGCTAAGTAGTATCGTCAGCCGCAACCCAACTGTCCGGGATCAGGCTTGTTACGTCGGCGATGCAGTGTGTCGGCGATCTATGATAAAGCTACCGGCAGTGGCGGGAAAGGCAATGATGAGTCTGATATTCTTAGCTGCAGGTGAGGAGTTTAGTCAGGCGAAGCTGCACATTGTTCCAGACTTGATGGTTACTTCCGGACTTTTGTAGTCACTTTGCCAATGGTCAGAGCCATTGCGCAAACATATGCTTGGGAAGCGTTGGCAGAGCAGAATTGGCAACGGTTAAGACCGGACTCAAGAGCTGCCATTGATGAATTGGTGCGGTTTTCCAATGGGCGGGCTAGTACTTTGCGGCGGAGTCAGGTAGACGACAGCGGGATGGGAAGATGTAACTATGTCCTGGAAACATTACGTGCAAGGATGCTGCTGTGGGCTGGGCCTGCGCTCGAAGTGGTTTCATCTCCTGAACCGTCAAGACGTGTGCGGGCTCTGGGAATCAGTAGCACCAACCAAAACACATTCAGCTATCTCCAGGGATTCAAGTGATGTTCTGGCTCCGGATTCAGTGCTTGGCATGTCTGAATTCTACATGCTGCATGCAGCATGTAGCCGTCCATCAAACTGCTGTGCTTGGAAAGTGAGTTTGGGAGTGCGGTCGACGACGCAGTGTCAATCAGAAAGAGGTATACAGGCTAGAGAAGGAACATGGAGGGCAAGAATTCCATGCTTGAAAACGAAAGCAGGCTTGCAGGTGTGACAGCAACAAGCGAGTCAAGAAGCATGTACCGCAAACGCATGTCGTACCAACCCGCTGCCTGACACCTGAAGCTACCGGCAGTGAAGCAGGCTCTGAAAAAGTTAGACACAGAGCCACATCTTACGGAGAAGCTGTAAGAAATTGAAACGGTCGCTGCAGGTCATTCCTGGGCGTGTATGCGGGTTGTGTGGAGCAACAGGACGGGGGAATAAAAAGACATGGCCGCATGTACTCGTATCCTCAACCCGGCTCTTTTGATGGCCGTTTCTGCGGTTATTGCCAACAACCCTCTTCAGAAACGGAAGCGCGGCACTGGGTATAAGATCTGGCTTTCATACAGAAGACAGCTGAAAAGAGAGCTTAGTAAACAGGCGCAGCGACAACGGTTCTCCCACACGGAGAGTTGCATAGACTAATGGGCCAAGCATGCGTTGAGCCGTAATTGGACACTGAATGGCCAGGGCGCGAGGCTGAGCGCCAGTCAGACTGGACGCAGAAGTAAGGGGTTGGAGCAGCAGTCGCACCAGTGCGAGTCTGGGCAGAAAAGAGGCGGTTCGTCTTGTCCCGAGTTTAACTCGTCTGACACTCATGGTGACGTTTGCTGCAGGGACATCAAAGCCGGGCAGTTCGGGCGGAAGGCGCACCGGCTCTCGGTCGGGCAAGGATGTGGGGTGAGATCTGCGCTCTGATTTGCTAATGAGGAAGGCCGTGAGTTGCCAAACCGGGCGTTACAGCTGTCGTGAAAGAGACATCATAGTGTGCCGGATATAGGCGGCTTTAGAAGAGCGGCAACTACTTTTGAAGACCGGCAGCGATTGCTCGCCAGCTCAAAAAAAAAAAGTCGAACAGCCTGGTGCAAAGATAAGGCCACACACAAGACGCCCGATACCGGATCTCGACAGAGAGCAAGGACTCCACGGACTCCACGGCTTTCGAGTAGGGCGCGCCCGTGCAA